AGACGTTACTGTATGTTAGCTCTTTCTACAGTTTTTCACAAATCCATGTTGTCAGCTGACAGATGTTCTTCACACAGTGACATAACCAGAAGTACTTCTCTCTCAGTTAAGCTAATTGCCAGACATGTCTTGCTCTGTGGGCCTAATGAGCTGAAAATGCAATCAGCTACTTGTTAAATGCAGATTTTGCAGTTGCTGTGTCCTACTAGTTGTTGTTTACATGCTCTTTAATTTGGTCCAGATCTGCCTTTTAGATACCCTTCCAAGATATTTTCTGCAATTAAACAGTGATATATGTAGCCTTGTATATCATGTTATCATTATTAGTCATTATTATTTCTGTAAATTTTCATCAACTTTATAGCAGTTTTATTACATATGGCAACTGCAGTGCACAGTTAGTGGTGTTCTCTTTTCCAGTCAGCTAATGCCCATTCAATGTATATGTGGTTCTACATCTACTCTAGGCTGAGAGTTAAGTTTAGTCAAGTTTCAGACCAGTCCATTTCTTCATGTGGCGTCATCCTCCACTCATTGTCCCATACTGTAAACTGAACATATGAATCTTAAGCTTGATGAAAACAGAGGTGAAGTTTCAGTATTTGTTTGTCACAAATAGGGTGTCACTTAGCAGGGATTTTTTTAAATCACTGTTTTCCAGTTCAAAGTTTGGAGTCCTCCTGTACTGCACTATTTTGCTGCCCCGTGCTACAAAGCAAAAATAATTCAGCTCATTTGAGGATCTAGTTCTTCTGGAGTTTAATCATGTGTGCTAGACGCTTGACAACACAGTGCAGTGTGGTAGCCTTTGGAGTTACATGGCCTGTGTGTTGACAAATCTTCATGCTCAAATCCTAAAGGGCTACAGAATGACAGTTTAGTGCATTCAGTGCTCTGAAACACTTTATAGAGGAGCTTGAAAATGGCTGAAGAGTTGAATCAGTTGTGCTAAAGCAGGAAAAGCCCTAATCTGTTAAGTACGGTGGAATTCCAGGACTTGAGCTGGAAAACGTTGCTCTGTAAGCAGCATGTCAGTCAACTGTGTTTGAGTGCCAGGGTCAGTGTGGGTCATTAATGTGCCCCTGCTTGTGTTTGTGTGATCAGGAGCTGGACGTGAAAGCAGGCGGTGGATGTGTGATGACAATCGGAGAGATGCTGCGTTCCTTCCTTACAAAGCTTGAGTGGTTCTCGACGCTGTTCCCGCGGATACCCGTTCCTGTGCAGAAGATGATAGATCAGCAGATGAAGAACCGCCCACGCAAACTCCCACAGAAGGATGGCAAGGCAGAGGAGGAGGAGGAGGAGGAGGAGGAAGAGGATGGGGACCGGCACCGCTCCAGGTACACCAGCAGGGGAATCTGCAGGATGCTGTAATAATTTTTTTTGGGCTGTACATAAGTACAATTCTGGAAAGCATTTGCAAGTATTTTAAATGTAATTTAAAATGTAACTGTTTAATTTACTATTCACTGAACCATTACCATTTACTGATTGAGAGAACCGATAGCAATTTTAACTGTGGCAGTAGTCACTGGGCAGGCATGCTATCCTCTGTACAGGGTGTTCAGCACTAGTATCAGCCCGATACCAACACTGTTAATAGTATTGGTACTAGGGATATGCATGAGTACTTGGTTACCTGTTTTAGGTGCCAGCATTTGAGTACTGAGATCATTATACAGGAACTTGTTCAGAAAAAATATACAAACAAATCAGACTGTAAAATGTTGTGGTTTTGTGTTTGTGAGTAACATCATTGCCTGAACGTGAGGGTGAAACAGATGTAGCAATAAAGCCACACTTACTAGGCTAAATACTTTAGCTGATGGGTCCAGAAGCAGTAAAATATATATAAACTAACTTGCTGGCATGTCGTCCACTGAGGAGACAATACCTCATGTAAGATGATGAGTCCTTGTCAGCATCCAGTGTTGTATCCGTTAGCTCCGTTTTTATCCTCTTTACATTAGCGCTGAAAAAGTAAGCCTCCATTACTATTTTTATGTTGGCTGTTTTTCTTCTTTACACATTATTAACTGGATATCTGTTCATTAACTCTTGCAGATACTCAGATACGAAGATTGTTCAAAATGCACATCCCTCATTGATACTAGTAATTCTTTGTGGCAGGTGCCTTTATTTGACCTTCCTGGTTCTAGTCGTTTGCTTTGCTAACATAATAGCCTTTTTTGTGCGTGTGTGTGATGTCATCAGGACGCCAAGGAGGACCCCAAGCCCCCGGAGATCACCAAATCGCTCACGCAGTCGCAGCCACCACCGAGACCGTCATGGGGCGAGCTTTGACCGTGAGCTGGAGAGAGAGAGAGACCGCCAGCGAAAAGAGAGAGAGGGCAAGGACAGAGAGAGAGACAGGGAAAGAGACAGAGAGCGAGACCGAGGAGAGAGAGACAGGGCTGCAGACAGAGACAGGGAACGAGATCGCCGACGTTCCAGAACGCCGGACCGAGGCTCGGAGCGGCGCAGGAGCCGTAGCAGGGAACGGCGCCGGAGCCGCAGCAACACCCGTGAGAAAAGGAATGAGAGGAAAGAGCGAGAGAAAGAGAGGGAAGGAGAAAGCGAAAGAGAGCGCAGTCGCCGGAAAGAGCGGGAGCACAAAGATCGGAGCAGTGGAGGAGAGAAAGAGAGGGAGCGTTCAAAAGACAAGAGGAGCAAAGGAGAGGCTGAGGAGCGCCGGCACAAAGAGGAGAGAGAGGAGAGGAGGCACCGCGAGGAGAGGAAGAGCAAACGCTCCAGCCGTAGCCGCAGCAGGGAAAAAAGGCACAAAGCGGAACGCTCTAGCAGAAAGCGTTCCCGATCCAGGAGCCGACAGGAGGTAGGAGAGGAGAAGAGCAGGAAGTGCGAACGCAGCCACAGCAAAGAGCGGCCGCACAAGCGCAGTCGTAGCAAAGATCGCTCCCACAGACGAGAGTCCAGCAACGGCAAAGAGCACAGGCCCAGGAGCGCCAGCCCAGAGCCGGGCGATGGAACGCATGGCAGCCGGGCTGAATCACCCTGAGCGTCAATCACCCTCCACACGCCCACTTCACCCTCCCTCAGCCTGTTTCTGTATGCGACCTCACCGAACAACAGAAATGAAAATAGCACGACGTCCCTGGAATTTTCCTTTTCCCCTTCATTTTTCCTATTAAGTCCTTTCATGTAGATACTACCCAATCTTTTCTATTTCTTCAGCAAGAGAAGAAAAATCTTTGATTTTTTTTTTCTCTCCTCCGCCCCATCATGGACATAATGAAAAATAAAAAAAATGCTTTTTAAATGTTTGACAGTTTTTGTTTGGTTTTTTTTTTGTTTTGTTTTTTTTTGTTTGCTTTCAGAAAATCTTCCAAAAATGCTTTTGTACATAGAGCACGGGGGAATGTTTTAAATCGTACAAAGGACACGCGCAGAGTGAAGCTGGTGGAATGGCAACAGCGTGGACCTACTGAAATTGTTCTGTGTTCAGGTCATTTCTCTGTTGCATCTCATTTCCTAATAAAAATCTTGTATGAAAATGGGGACAAGTTTTTTGTGGTTGTTTTTTTTTTTTCGTTTTTGAAGTTGTTTTGTTTATTTACATAGTGCTAAAAGGCAGCAGAACAACTTCTTTAAACCTTTTTTTTAAGCCAGAGTTTTATCAATTACACAAGCTATTCACAGTATTTTCAATTTTGTTCTTAATTTATTTAAATAGCTTATATTTGCACAGAAAATACAGCATATTTAACAATCTCTCTTGCAGTTTATTTATGTACTTCTATTTCTCATGTACATTAAAATAGAGACAGCAGTGATGTGAGTAAAAAAGCCAAGCAGCTGAAATATTCATCTTTGGACCGTAACTGATTTAGTGACCCAAAAGAATAGAAAAGAGCAGAACGGTCCCAGCTATTTTTCAGAAGCGTAATTTTAAAACCTGTGGACCAAAGGTGCCCAACTCTGGTCTTAAACATTTGTGATTTCCCTCTATAGCTACTAAATATTAAATCAGTTGAGTTGAAGCAGATGTGCCTGTGCACTCTATGACCAGAGCTGAGCACCCCTGTCTTTACATTCACTCTGCAGGTGTGGAAAAAGTTCTTGATAGATAAAGAAGCACAAGTAAGGTAAGTGAGATGTATCCATGTACCCTGCATTAGAAATATATACAGCCTCTGCCTTCAGTGTTACAGTTGTGTAACTGTGGAGCTGGAGTTCTGAGGCCAGTTTTAACTCTAATAGTGTTTACTGCTATATTGCTATGTTTTACAATACCAAAAAACTCAAACTCATGCTCAGAATTTTGTCTGAAACTAGGGCTTTTCAGTAGTGAAATGAATGCAGTAAAAGTACAATTACTTGCTGTCTGGTTACTGAAAATGTTGAATGTAATTGCTCCTGGCAAAATCATGTTTATGATTTGGCACCCAAACTTATCTTTAACTGACCTCTGAACAGAGGCATGTGGAGGTTCATTGTAGCTTGATGTTGGCAAGTCTCAGTTTTTAAACCTGTGTACTACATATTTTTATATTGTACTACTGTTCCTTAACCCTGGTTTTGGAGGCCCGCTGCCCTGCGCATTTGAGTGCTTCTCCTATCACTTTAATAATGGGTTGTTACTGAGCTGATATTTGGATCAAAATTAAAATTCAAGATCATGAAGGTGTACAGAAGCATGGAAATCACTAAAATGTGCAGTGCTTGTGGGCACCAGAACCAGGACTGAGAATAGCTGTATAAAAGAGGAATTCCAACTATTTTTCAAAATTTCTGCATAATCTAATGTTTGAGATGTAAACAGTGTGGTATCAGAGTGGTGCAATGTGGTGCACTGTAGAGAAGCTTACTGACTGGACAGCGGTGCTGATAGAAACTAGGTGTTGCTATGTTTACAACCAAATTAGGGCCATTTTATATACCATCCAAAACAACTAGAGAACCTGCACGTGTCTCCTGATTTTTTCTAATGAATGTTAGTAAACTATATTTATAACGCCCTGTAGGTACCATTTTTTTTTTTAAATCTGTTTTAAGCCAAAATTGTCTTTTAAGATGATCATAAAACAGTGTCTCAGATATCAGCAGTGTGTTCATAACTATTTTACATGATTAACTTTATGTGAAGGAAGGAGCTTTTAGAGTAATGGTGCACAACTCTGGTTCTGGAGGGCTGGTGTCCAGCATAGTTTTGTAGTTTCCTCATTCAAACACACCTGCTTAACCTGGTAATTCAAAATTGAATCATATGTTTTAGTAAGAAAATTACCTAACTGTAAAGGACACCAGCCCTCCAGGACTGGAGTTGAGCTCTTCTGTTTTAGAGGCATTAAACCATTAAGATGTTTGGTTCCTATTACCTCCACTGTAAGCAATTCTGACTGGGTAGCTTCTCTAAAATGATGCATTTCACATCAAACCACTCTGAATGACTTTACATCTTAACGATTTAATTGTACAGAAAATTTAAAGGAAAAAAATCAGTGTAATTCCCTTTTAATCTCCAGAGTTGTGGAACAGTGGTTGCCTGTATCAATCCTCAGAGACCCCTACAAGTCTGTTTTTGTAACATCAAGGACTTGCTGTTCTGAGGGAATTAAAGGGAAACTCAATTACATAAAACAAATACCTTATTATTTCTTACATAAACAGCAATGCATGAGTTTGATTTGATGGAAAATTGAAAGCATATTAACGTATTAATGTGACCGTTCACTCACTGAAGTGAACAGTCTCTCTAGATCCAGTCCTTTGGTATGTATGTCTCATGTTTCTCAGAATAAAAATGCTGATGTAGGATTAATACGTCCCCATCATATGCCCAACATCTGCAATTTTGTCCTTGAGAAACGTGACCCAAACGTGGCCTTAGCTCAGAGCTGCGGTCTGAACACACGCAGGTTCTGAGTAGGGCCCACTGCTGTAGGAGTTTCTGGCAGAAAGCGAGATGCAGTACATTGTTGCTGGTTTGAGCTCCGGGATGATGGAGGTCTCTCCGTACACGGTCATGACGACAGGTTTAGATGAGCTGGACTGTTCCCGGATCAGCAAGGAGTAGAACTCCGCCCCCTCCACATGAGTCCATTCCAGCCAGACAGCATCAGCTGTTACCATAGTGAAACTGGCTTGTGGGCTGGTCAGCTCACCTGTGGGTGGAACTGTGTGTTATGTTTTATCTGTGATGTTACATGGTAGAATATGCAAACCTTTCATGGCCTTTTGAAAATATATTGAAAATCAGTATGTTTAGCAAATTCAGGTTTATTCAAAGAAACAATAAACAAAATAAAATAAATGTGTTCAAAACATAAGTACCATTAAAATAATACATGTTAAATTATTACATTCATAATAATAATCACTGCATTCTAGGATTTTCTTTCACAGGTACTCAAACATTGCAGTGGCACAAACTCACCGATCTCTGTCTGGGTCAAGTCTCTCCTCCTGCGAGCTGCTATCACTGTTAAAGATCAAAAGGGAAAAGTTTGTAACCGTATCACTGATAGTTCTACAGTTACAGACTGTAGTCCATCTATTTGCCTGCGTACTCTGTCAGCCCCCTTTTACTCTGTTTTTAATGGTCAGAACCCCCACAGGAATACCACAGAGCAGCTATTATTTGGGTGGTGGTAAATTCTCAATATTGCAGTGACACTGACATGGTGGTGGTGTGTTATTGTGTTTTGCTGGTACAAGTGGATCAGACACAGCAGTGTATTTAAACACCTCAGTCTCACTGCTGGACTGCTAACAAAGTATGCAGAGAAACAGATGGACTACAGTCTGTCACTGTAGGACTACAAAGTGCACCTATATTAGTGGAGCTGCTAAAATGAACAATGAGTGTAGAAACAAATAAGGTGGTTTTAATGTTATGGCCGATTGGTGTATAATCTGAACAGATTAGCTTGCTGATTTTTCTAATCCAGTCTGTGGTTTTCTTTTCTTTTAACTCCAAGCACACCTTCGGCCAGACAAAGCACTTAGGAAAGTCGTAATGTGCTTGGACCATCACATCTTCACAGTCTCAGAACTGGCTGCTCCAACTATTCTCAAAACATTTTGAGTGCTGTTTTGTTACATTAGTGGTCTTATCTGTGGGTGTGCATGTAGTAAAATTTAGGATCTTAGCAGGATAAAACCTGGAATACTGGTGATCGTTTAACAACATCATAAAAAGAACTCTCCCACTTACTGTGAACTGCACTGAAATCAACTGAAAAGCCATCAAAGTTCATAGAGGACGATATTTAAATTTAGCCTACAATGACTAATGACGTGGAGTTTGCTGAACCCCTTAAAAGGTCAGGCCCCACCAGGGACCCAAAGGTTTAATACACACTTCTATAACCTAAGAATTAGCCTGGGACTTTAAGGTTTTAATAGCAGTAAAACTAATAGGATGTATTTTTTTTTTTGAATTATGTATCATTTTTAAAGAGAAGAGATAATAGTGATTAAAAGAACATTCTATATCATTATTTAATTTAAAACAAACAATAATATAAAATAAACCTCCTTTATCTGATCGTTGTAATTTAACTGTACCCAAAAGATGTTCTCATCAGTTTTTTCTTTTTTTATTCATTTATATGCAGTAACAAAATCAGGCATTAGCATTATGCACATATGCATACATGGATCATTCTACCAAACTGAATCAAAGTCAAAGCTGAAAACACAATTCAACTGACTTGGACTTTAGACTAAAATCCTTTTGTTTTGAGTGACTATATACTTTAATTATGTTTATTTTATTAAAATCAATGATTTGACATTCTGTAACTACCAGAATAATCATAACATGTAAGTTAATGTGACAATTTGTTTTTACAAGTAATTTTAGATCATTTTTATTGGTCCGGTTATTATTAAATTTTATGTACTATAAAGGGCTGCTTGAATTTTCAAATCACACAAAAAGTCAAAAATGGATAAAAAAATTATATATTTAGCTTATTACTATCTCAATTACTGCCTTGGGATAAAATATATCAAAACATAATCTTTGTAAATATCAATGGTCAGAATATGTAATTGTTTTTTTTTTTTGGTCTATTTAATACGTAAAAGCACAAAATAAACTTATGTTCTTGCTATTGTTTACACTGGGCCGAAGGCAGTAACGTGCCATGTGGGCTTCCACACACCCCTCCAACTGGCTGTGTGTCTATCAAAAGACTTTCTGTCATTAATAGATAGCAAAACAGCTGACGCGCCACCTTCCCTTTAAGGTTTAGCCTAGGAGTTACACTACGACTATCTTACGATGTCCTATCCTTCTTTTAAAAATTAGCCAGGGATGTCACTGGCCGATCACAGGTCCTAGGTTAAGAGGGTCATAAGGCCATTGCAACGCCTTGAGAATCCGGCCCCTGGGTCAGGTAAAGACTGATAACCCACTTCAGGTGTGTTAAGAACGTCAACACCACTCTAAAATGAGAACGGTCTGGCGCTCCTGCCTTACAGTATATCAGAAATGTTGGCAATCGCGTGTGTTTCTGTTTCAATCCAAACATTGCAACATATTTCTTTCTCAACGTCTGGTCTTACCACGCACGCCCGATGTACCAGCACTCTCCCCGGCTGCGTTCCTGGCAGTAACCATGATCAGGTTGCTACTGACATTGGTGATGGGGCAGGAGAGCTGAGAAGTGTTACACAGTTGTATCCGGCCACTGGATGTCACCTGGTAGACGTGGTACACGGTGGCATACAAAGAGGCATTCCACGCCACCACAGCAGAGGAGTTGGAGCCAGTAAAAGTGACGGACAGAGGAGGACAAGGTACTGAGGGGAATGAGAGGGGAACTTATTACTGCAAAGTAAAAGTAGATACAAATAAACCTGAAGTGGTAACTGTGTGACAATTACACTAAATCACTGGGAGACAGAGAAAGGATGGATTTAAAGTCAACCAGAACTCAAGACTTTTTCCCATTGTTAGTTCAGATCCTAGTCATATTAAGGACAATTCATCATATCATTCTTGCTTTCAGGTACCATCAGAACGTAATGACATTTGCCACCTCTAAAACCTTTTTAGAGTTTTGAATACATCTTTGTGCCTCTTCTTCCCACCACCCCCACCTATCATCGAGTGAAAATGCTGCACTAGCTCAGAGACCCTCCCTAATACCACATCACTCGATATGGAAGGAAAATGTGCTACAATTCCCATTCGGCTTGACTTTAAGATAATATTTTAACACGTATTTGAAGGCCCTCACCTCAAAAACTCCCTCATAAGTTTTTTACAGACCTTTTATGTTCAGCTACCACAGGCATGACATGAATTCATAAATGGTTAAGTATGACTATGTATGATAAGCAAGTTATATATGTTATGGACTCAAATAAGTACTAGCATTAAACCTAAAGGAAGTAAAAGGAGGAAATGGGAAAGCTCCCCAACTGGCACATATATCATCATATGCTGGCTAATTGCTTGGTGAATTAAAAATTACAGTAATTATCAATCACTAATTTAATAGGTCCAGCAAATGTGTCCCTTCATTCCTGCTGAGTCTAAATGTGGCCCATTCCAAGTAAGATAATTTACGAAACTGATTAGAAGATTCAGGATTGACCACATTGAGTACTTTGTTCAGTGTTCCTACCTGAGATCCCTGTGACGACGGCTGATGGTACACTGGTGCCGCCAGAGTTCTGAGCCCTCACGCTGGCGCTGTAGGTGGAGCTACAGGGGACAGGCATCTCAAAGTATGTGCGGTTCGTCCAATACGAGGTCATCTGGAAGAGGGACTGGGGGTCACCCTGAATGCTGCCAGAAACTTCCAGAAGGTAGCTGGAGTTGGGGCAGTTCACGATGGACCAGTAGGCCCTCAGAAGCTGACTCTGACCTACCAGCACACTCGGGATGACCCGGAAGCTGGCTGGAGGGCAAGGCACTGAGAGCAAGTAGGAGTGAGAAGAAGAAAGAGAGAGAGAGGGTGGCATGGAGGAGGGGTTCATATTTTTAGGTTACTTTTAATTGACAGAGACACTTTTAGACAACATTTATACACCATCCACTTTATTAGAAACACTTACTGTCCACATGGCCACATGACACTATATAGGTGTACAGTAACAGACCATAGTGCATCTCATTCATAACTGGTCAGTTTCTGACCACAGGGCCACTGTTGATCAGATAACACACCTTGTTTCTACCTGACATTTTTAGCCAGCAGTACCTGATCTGTACAGCATGTGTCAGCATTTTACGTTAGTTTAAATTTGTAGTTGAGCCTTAACAAAACAGCTATATTCTTACATGTGTATTTTGCACTCTTCCACTCTTCAGCTGCATATCAGCTAAATATGTTTATCAGCTGAAACACAGAGCTTTAAAGTGTAATTATCTACCTGAGTGGTTTTGCTTTGTGTACAGTATCATTATTAGCTTATACGGGCACTAGAATTAGAATAACATGAACAAAGTTGGGCAAAATATACACTCAATATCAAATGGCTCCCTACTCCCTATGTAGTGTGTACTACATAGGTCATGCATAACAGCTTCTACACACAAACAGTGTATTGTATGTCTAAATAAAAGCCATTAATATTAATATTAAGTCACAGCTGCATATAGGAAGTAAGGAGCCATTTGAGATTCAGACATGCTCTCATGCTAAACCAAAATAAGACTAAAACTGAGGTTTTTGTCAGTAGCTCTCACATCTCAATCTGAATGTTTTCACCCATACGTTTCTTTCTGTGGGTGAAAACATTCAGATTAGAGCACAGGGAGATGTGAGAGCTACTGACAAAAACCTCAGTTTTAGTCTTATTTTGGTTTAGCATGAGAGCATGTCTGAATCACAAATGGTTCCTTACTTCCTATAAATGTTAATACCACGTCGTAAAAAAGGCATTCAAGATACAGATCAGGCAGCGTCGTAAAACTTTCTAATGCAGTCTACACATGCGTCGAGTTTCTCGGAAACAGGTCATTTCACATCAAACCCCTCTGAAAGACTTGGTTTACCTCTTCATGCTTTAATTATGCAGACATTTTGAAAAACAAAAAAAACCTTTAACAGTCTGAAATTCAGAACACAGTTGTAGGAATGTTCTTACATCCACTCACTAATTAGTCTCATATGTATTTTCCCAGTCCTAAAACTCCCTGAGGGTGGGCTGAACCAACAAGGATTCAATTAAACAGAGTTAAGTGCCTATCAAGGATTTGTTAATCTAGCTTTTGTTTTAAATCAAGTTGTGATGCATCACATAACTTTAAACATGAACAAATCTGCAATTAAGGCCTTAATTTGTGATTAAAACCTTAACCTGCCATAATTTTGATTGTCCACCATGATGGATACAGTATAAATAAACAGCAACCACATTACTCTCGACACAAATCATTGTCTATAAGTTACTTTTTCCATTCTGAATAAAAACTAGCACAGAGCTACATTAAAAATAGCTCTCACAGAAAAACAGTCCATTTATAAACCCAGAGGATCGGTATCATCAGGGGGAGCCATTTAGCAAAACCTAAAAAGACTTCTTATATATTATTATATAACACCTAATGATAATTTGAATCAAAATATTTTAAATATGAATGCTCTGTACTTGTATATACAAATATACAGTTATTCTGTAAATTGCAATTTCATAGTAAAAACTCAACTACTTAAATCTAAAGCTTAACACTGAATATTATTAGAGTAGCCTTTTAACCTGTTAGCTAGATAGCTAACCAAAGCAGCGGTCAAGCTGCTCATCCTACATCAACTAGTTCAACAAAACCGCGTTCTTACCTGGAATATATTTAGTCTGTCTTTAGCTGTCTACTACATTTACGTGAAGTTTGTAACTGCAAAACGTCCATTCATTAGTAAGATACCGCTGCCATGTTTTTCTTCTATTGCAGTGATGCACACACAAGCTACCTGTGTGCTTTTCTGTTCTGCAGGAAAAACTCATCTTTTAAGCAAATTTTGTAAATCTAAACCACCAAAATTAGAGGTTTACATTTAATGCCTGAATAATATCAAAGTAATGGTGCAACAGGATTACATTTAATCTACATTTGCTCCAAAAGTAATCCTGGATTAAATGAGGGTTTAAATGTATTCCTGATTATTTTAAAACTAGGTTTAAAGTTTGGTGCAACAGGATTAAAAGGTAGACCCTGACTTAATCCAAGTTTAATCCTTGTTGGTGCAACCCAACAATGATACGAGCACTTTTGTGGTTTAGCTTATGTGAGTTGTTCATACCTCCTCCTCCTGTTAGTGTTTTGCTGAAGGAGCTGTTGCAGGGTCCATTTGAGGCCTGCACCGTAAAGTTGTACACGGCACCACAGTGCAGGCCCTGCAGGGTGCAGGAAGTGTTCGTGGTCTGGCAGTAGAGCGGTGTGGCGTTGTCTGACTGGGCAGTTGCGAAATACTGCACAGCTCCTGTCTGCGCTGCCCAGGACAACATCGCAATACCATTTGCACACTGCACATCTACAGACACGTTTGTTGGCTGGCAGGGTACTGTAGAGCAAACACACCAGAGGGAAAGATTGATTCTAAACACTGAATTCCAGTCCTATTATGAAAATATGGTGGATTAAAATGCATGTGAATTAATCAATAAAAAAGGCATTGAGTGATAAACAGTCATCTGATTACAACAGTGAAGATTCAATAAAATATGAGCCACATTTTATCATTCATCACCAAGGTTTTTGATGAGAGTGGAAAAAACAAATATCCTTTGATGAAAAGAAAAGTAATATAAAAGCCTGTAAATTGAAAACTAAAGTGGTTATTCTATCAAATGATTTGACAAAAAATAATTTATCTACTTAGTATATTTTGGCATCTTGCAAGATGTATTACTGAACTCCATTTTTGTTACTTGGTTCATTTATTGCATGTAGGCAGCAGCAGAGAAGATAAATAACACAAAAGAGATTAAATGTTAAATGATAAATGCTGCACGACACCAAACATACCCAGTAGAAAATGTACCACTTTAGTCTATCAATCTACATGTATTTTCATCACATTTCTTTTATCAAAGAATATTTTTTATTTCCACACTCATACAAAAAAAGTGAACTTGGTGATGAATGATAAAACATGGTTCATATTTTGTCAAATAAACACTATTTTTATAATAATAATAATAATAATTAACCAATCAGTTAATAATCAATACAGTAATTTGCAGGAAAATCAATGACTTGTATGCAGCAATATATCGTTGTTGAATAAAAGTTGTTGTTTTTTTTTAGTTTTATGTTTTATTTATTCAATAAAATGCAATAATAAACACAAAAATTACATGACGAGGGCTGAGCGCAGTTTCAAGATATTGCAGTGATGTTGATTTACGCCTTTCTTAAACCCAAGGTCACTTTACAACAGTAATAAAATATATAATTAACAATGATTTTGTCAGATAAACTATTCCTCATTCAAATTTTCAATGCTTATGTTTTTATTAACTCTATTTCTAAGTCACATAAAACTTTAACAACTCAGTTAATTTATGTTGCTTGGTACCACTGTCTGTGTGGAGCATGACGAGTAACCTGTATGCACAGTGTGTGTTATGAGGCTGATCAGGGTTTCAGAGTGTGTTATCTGTGTAAGGAGTGAGTGTTAAGTGGCCGCAAAGTATGTCACTTGAGTGCAATGTGTGCTACATGTGTGGAAAGTATGTGACCTGTGTGAAGTCTGTTATCTGTCAGCAAAGTCTAAGTCTAGCAGAGTGTTTGTTCATCAATATAATAATAATGAAAATAATAATAATAATAATAATAATAATAATAATAATAATAAATTTGGGTTTTGCAATGCATATAAACCAATTTGACCAGCAGGTGGCATCAGCCTTTGAAGGTTCCAGCACAGTGAATCATTTCCCAAAACTACTGGTTCAAACCTTTAGAAAGCCTCATTTCTCCCTTCACTAGTTACCTGGGCAGTGTGTCTATCAGATGTCGGGATTATTTGTTACCCATGTGAAGAGTAGGGCTGCAATGAATAACTGTTAACTGAAATATTTAAAAACGGAAAAGCCATTTGAAAAAAACACATTTACATTAATAACATGCAGTACTTCTATGAACGTACACACTCCTTTAGATAAAGAACTGTTTGTTTAGCAGGCGAAATATTAGACTGTCGCGAGCAACACATCATTAGACTGATTAGAGATTGTGATTTGGCACAGCTTGCGAAACTCTCGCAAGTCATGGTGACAGTATCAGTTTTAATTTCAAGGGGCTGTCCAAGTAAGTTTCCTACTGCTTTAGGTTGCTAGCTAGCTAGTATTTAGAGTAAATGAGAAATCCATGTTCACTGACTGGAGTTTAGGGCTGGGTGATATGGTTCAAAAATCACATCTCAGTATTTTTAGGCTGAATGGTGATACACAGTATATATATCTCAGTATCTTCTATGAAGTGGCCTAAATGTTCAGTTCAGTTCAAGTCAAAGCCACATGACATTGCATTGTATACTTTTAGGTGTACAAACAGCACTGCCAAAATTACACTCCCCCTGAAAAAATCCTCCCCGTTGAACTTTATGTGGCATAAAGGTCTGACTTGCATCCCCAGAAATAAAGGCAGAGTGTACGTGTAGAGTGTACAATCTGCTGATTATTTTAGCCAAAATTAATCTTAAAAATTACTTCCAATTTTAATTATAACCGCCAGCTTCTGTTTATGCCCCACAGTGTATGCATGTTTGTAGTCTAGTTCATTAGTTCACTAGCACTCTAGATTTGTCCTAGCTAGATATTATCCAGCTAATTAGAGACAATTATGGTATATTTGATCAATATGACATTTACAAAATCTCATTAAAAGAGAAACGAAAGTCACGTTGTCCAGTAATGACGAGAAAAGGGAGAAAGTAGAGATGCAAACACTGGCACGGTTTTACGGAAGAAACAAGTTATGTATTTTAACACAACATCAAACTATATCGATATAAACAGTATTGTCTCACCCTATTTATCGTTTGAAAATATATTGATATACTGTAAAAAGTTGATATACCGTCAAGCCCTACCAGCATTCACCTAAAAGTTATTTTTATTTTTAACATTTTTCATTTTTTTAACACTGTTTCTGCACAAATCACTGCTGTTCAATCAAAGCCAGCAACATGTTCAGAGCTGCCAGATTGTGCAGGATTCTCAGTTTAGCATTTTAATGCAACTTGCTATGACAATAATTATCAGAAATGTTTTTTCATTACCTAGTAATTTTTTTTAGAAAAAAAAATGTGTCTTAACGTTTTCTTATTCTTATAAAATATGTGAATAGTGCGGAGTGTGTCTCACCTGAACTGATGACCACAGGCTGGCTGGGCACACTGGAGCAGTTGTTGCCCACAGCAACCACACGGACAGAGTAGGTGGAGCCACAGGTGAGGTTTGTGAGGACGCAGGTGGGTGATGTACTCTGGCAGGAAATGTTGCCATTGCTGCTCACAGCATAGACGTAATAGGAGATCGCCCCCTGGCTGCGATCCCACACCACTACAGCTGAGCTATTAGCACATCCCGTTATCACGGAAATATTGACAGGAACACAGGGTGCTGCAAAGAGAGGAATATTCAGTTCTTGTTAATACATATACTATTGGGTTCTATAAATCAGAAAATCAAAACCACAGGAAAAAATTTTCATATCAAGTGGAAGATTTAAAGTTTTGCACCAGCGCAAACACTTTGGCATTAAAAAGGCACTCACAATTTACTAAAAAGTTTGAAAACTATGGACTAGCCTTCAGCCTCCTAGTACTGGTAGCACCGTGTGATAGGGGAGACCTTGCTAATTGAGTGGAACTGGACATAGCTAATTTGGAGAGAAAAGTGGGGAGAAAAGCTAAAATAAAACCAAAACTTTTTTTCTCCTACCTGGCATAAACAAGCTTCCATACAAAAAGCAAATGAGCAAATAGGGGTTTACATTTTGCACTGTTCATGTTTTTATCATGATGTTTCACCTGTGTTCATTTGATTGGAAGTTAATAAGTAGATACCCAGCTAAACTTGACACCCCCCAACATAGACTGTCAGTAATTAGCCCTTCTTTTAACAAATCTGTCCCCAAGTTTCTGAAATGTTTTAGTGATTACTTGATGAATGTTATAGTTTCAAATCGTCTCAAATGTCAATAAGTAAGCTTTTTCTTCATGTAGTCTTAAGAAATTCCTATCAGTTTATTGCGATGGCAATAATGTAAACACATTTCAGCTTTTTATGATAGTTAAACCACAGCCAGTAACTTATCACTTTCTCTCGATAGAGAACACCACAAAAAAAGTTGCCCCCCAATAAAATTTACCCTAAGATCAGGCCTCCTCCTCTGAACATAACTATACTCATTACAGGAGAAGCAAAAACTAACCCCAGACCAGTTATGACCCAGCCTGTGTGGATACCTCACCTGTCTGCAGGCTAGTGGGCAGGGTTGTAGTGGAGTTACACTGGTCGTTGGACACAGTCACTGAGACGCTGTAGTTCTTTCCACAGGCCAGCCCACCGATGTTGCATTGTGAGTCCACTCCTACACAGCTCCGCAGAGGCCCAGAGGAGTCCAGCAGGGTGGCCGTATAAATGGCTGTGCCATTATTGGGCTGCCAGGAGACCACAGCAACACTCGACATGCAGTCTAGCACAGCAGAGACTGCAGCAGCAGAGCAGGGCCCTGCGGAAAAAACAGCACCATATATTAAACACAGTATATAGATATATTATGCCACTTAGTATGGTATCACTGGCATAATGACAACTAATAATTAATAAATTCTATCTAGATTTACATACATTTCTGACAGTATTCTATTAAATATTCATGCAAAAATACACGTTTAAATGTTTCTTGCATGTCTGTCATGCATTCATGTATTGCAAAACAAAACAGCTCTCTAAGTTAGCAGGTAGGCTAAGTATTAGGGTTATGTTTCAATGATACTCTCAGTCTGCACGCTTTAATGTTCTAGTAAAGCTCCTCACCTGTCTGGAGTCTAGCAGGTAGACTAGGAGTGCTGTTGCACTGCTGGTTGCTGGCTGTGATGGTGAAGTTGTATTCCTGGCTGCAGTGTAGATCAGGGAGACTGATGGTAGACAGGCTGGTGCGGAGAGACACCGTGTGGCCATCTCTGCTCCACCCATTCACCACATACACTTCTGCTCCGGCACTGGAATTCCAGCTCAGTAAAGCCCCTGCTGAACCACAGCCTGACGCTGAAACTGCAACCAGCCCACTGGGAACACATGGAGCTGAGAAACACACAGGAAGAGTTTAAAAACCTTCCAAAATTACAGGACTGAGGAGAAATTAAACAGTGCAACTGCCATTGGGAACAAATGAGAGTTATTCAATATTTACAAGGTGCCATGTCATGTTCAGTTATGTTAACTTTCTTCCACTTTCTTCCACCCCACGTGACCCAGAAGGATAAGTGGTTTAGAAGGTGTGTGTGTTTGAAAATTTTTAGTGAAACTTGAAGGGGAATTCCATTTTGCAACATTACTGCCTAATTGAATTGCTGAAATGTAAACAAAGGAATTCAGAATGGTTTGATGTGAAATATTTGATGTGAGATACGTGCAGATTTCTTTATAGTGGTGGTCATAGGAACCAGGGGTCAAAACAAAGATAGCTATTTTAACCTCTACCAGTAAACCCACATGTATTTTGAGTTTTTATATGTAATGTTGATGATGGTAAAACGGTGGTAAATATGAAAAAAAAGTTTTTTTAAGCTTTCTATTTTTTTTTAAAGCTTTTCTATTTTTCTTATCTTGGATATGGCGGTGTTTCATTGCAGTATATTATAAAGTTTTCATATGAAAGTTGAGGGTGCTAGTACTGATCATAGTAACTATGGCAAGCTACAATATTAGCCTGCTAGTATGGTGGTGAATTGTGCTGCACATTGCTGCAAAAATAAATGAATTACAGTTTGGTGCTAGAAAACAAAACTTAGTTCTCCCACTCAGTACTACAAGATTGATGTGGGTTTGAGAATTCTTCATTGTTGGCTATGCACAGCACAGCTGCTGTCTCATCTCTAAATAAGTCACCTTGGGAATCAGCAGTCACAGCAATACATACGGCCACATTTTCAGCAGACATGGAAGGTATATTTGCTGCAGCACCTGGGATGCTCTGCTTCTACACAGGCCAGTTCAGTTCTCTTCATCAAGCCAATGTGAAGTCCTCGTACTCTGCCATTTTTGAAAGTAAGCAGGCTAAATGTATTCAATAAACTGTAAAGAAAAGTAAGCTTTTGCTTGCATTAGCCATGCTGAATGACTAGTAACAACATAAAAGCATGTCATAGTAGTCACATATCCACAACCATTCTTCATAATTTAACTTTTAGAGGCATTAAACCCTTCAGATGTCTGTTTCACCACCGTTGTAAACTGTTCCAACCCGGTAAGTTTCTGTAGAATTACACATCAAACACATTAGACCACTTTGAATGAACATGATTAAATTATGCAGGATTCTCCTTTAAATGTTATCGTGAAAATAACACAGAATGGCTGTGTAACTTCCCCAAATTACTGCAGATAGCCTGGACTGGATAGCCCGGAAGAACGTCAGTGTCACAATGGCAGGCACTCGATAGCAGTAACAACACAGTACATGTCTTTAGCTTTTAGCAGGTTTTGTTATTACATTACCATGAGCTCAATTTGAACCAGGTTCTGCAAATTGCAGAAAGGAATCCCCTCCAGAATTACTTGGAAGACTTGTACAAACTACAGACGCTGTAAATGTTGTTGGTAATCAAAACTGTAGCATAAATTATAGTACCTACCTAGGTAAAACAAGTCCAGCTCAAATTCTGCTAAAGACTACAAAGGCCCATCTCCGGCTGCTAAATTGAGACCTTAATTCCTCAATAAGGTATAAACCTGCACCCTAAAGAGTTGCTCCCTCTGTTCTAACAGAGCATGTTTTTTTCCATAATGTTCTCTGAATTAGGGACAGAAGAGCATAACACTCTTCCAGGACATACCAGTTCTAAAGGACACGCAGGTGCTCTGTTGGCTGAAGCAAAGCTGGTCCTGCCCCTGCACGATCACACTGTAGGACTGATCCAAAATCACCTTTGTCTTTTACTTTTACAGTGAATTTGATTATATGCACAGAGATAGCTGATCCTAGATGCGCACTGCCTTCCTGACGTACATGATGAGTATGGGCCCAGCCAATTATTGCCGTTATTACATGCTGGTTACACTGTACACGGTGTTGTTCAGTGTTTATGGCAGTTAAACTTGGGAGAGTTTGATAATGAAACCCAGAGAGTGAAGAAAGATTGAGGAAAAGTATGGGGAAATAAAATACCTAAACTCAAAGCCAAGGTAACTGATGTCTCTAGGACAAGGGTTTCAAACTGCCTCCTGATACCATGTGACGTAAGCCGCACTAATGAACAAATGACTCAAGCTGGCAATGAATGAGGGTCTGCTCACACAGAGAAGTGTTTTCTGAGTCCGTGAAAGTCAGACACAAAGGCGTTGATCACTTTAAACATTCTGCCTTAACATATTCCCACCAGGAACACTTTAAACCCGCCTTTAATTGTCTGTGCATTGCTAGCTAATGCATGCCATTTAAAATCAGCCAGATTGTCATGATTTGATTTTTGAGGTGCGTTGCACTAACAACTGCTTAAATTTAAGTAGGTTACTCAGTATGGTACTGGACTTGGTGTAGGTGAGTACTAAAAAAGAATGTATTTGTACTCGTAATTGGCCAGCCAAAAAAAATACTGATACATCTCTAAGTCAGATAAAGTAGATGAAGAAAATATATTCAGAGTTGAAATTAGAAATTATCCAACTGTGCAGTGCTGTGGCCTGTAGGACTGGATTTTAATATCCCCCGTTAAATTCCACCTAATTGTCAAAAATGTTGAAATTTAAACAGTCACTTGGTGAAAAAATCAAAAAAAAAAAAAAAGTTTTCTTTGGGAACTATTTAGCCTTCCAAAGTCCTGCATGGATTTTCCAATGCATTTTAGGCCAAAACCTTCTCTAAAGTTCAAAAACTATTTTTCAGGCATCAGGCAGCCAGTAACCACTTTGTGTAATAATCTTCTGTAAAATAACATTAGCTTTTAGAAGCCTTACATCTTGTTCCCATCACCACCGCTGTGAACAATTCTGATTTAGTAAGTTTCTTTAGAATGTAGCATTTTACATCAAATGACTCAATCATTTTGTTCACATCTTAACGATTTAATTATATGGACATTATGAAAAATCGTCTGAATTCCCCTTGAAATATCCTGTTTTTAAACTCCAGTCTGGGGGACCTACAGCACTGCACAGGGTAGTGTTTTTCTGCTATAACACACCTGATTCAGATAGTAAAAATCTTGATAACTAGTTAATGAGATGTGCTATTTAACACAATTCAAGACTATCAAATTCAAGCTCCTGAGAGTTATTTAAAACCATTTAAATTCAACTAGTTTCCAAATTCAAAGAGAAGCAATGCCCCAGAATGTTCCCCCTTCAGTTGTCACTTTTCTGAGTGTAATTAGAGACAAATTGTGCATAAGCAACATAGCATTTAGCTAGTCAAATCGTTGCTGTAATAGTTTAGTTTACATCTTAATAAAAATCATAATTAGATATTTTCCCCAAACTTAAAGCCCTAGATCAAGGTGTACCTGTAGAGATGTAAGCTGGTTGGCTGGTGTTGCTAGAGCAGCGGCCCATGTATGCTGTAATGGTAAAGGTGTAGTTCTGTCCGCAGGCCAGGCTGGAGAACTGGCAAGTGGAGGAGGTGGAGTTACACACGTCCTCACGACCATCTCCTCCTCGGACAGCACGGGCAATGTAGTAATCCACACCCTGTGCTCTCTGCCAAGACACCACAGCAGAGCTCGTTCCACATGCCATATTAACCACTACACCAACTGGCTCACACGGTGCTACACAAGGGAAAAGATTGGAAAGAAATTTTAGAGAGCATTGAGTTTTTTTATTACAGAAACAAAACACAGGACTTTTATTTTGACATGCATTTACAAAGAGGCACCAGGGTATTGCAAAATAAAGAAAAACCCAAGTGATGGTCAGCCCTTTCACAAATGTTAGAAAAAATGTCAATTTTGAGTCATGGTTAGAATGACTCAGTTTACCATGTCAGGTGGTATGACCTCAGGAAAACCATGAAAATGTTTATTTATTTGAAAAAATATACAGATGAAGTTAAGTTCAAGGATAACCACTTTCTACAAGTGTGTAAGTAGATGCCTGTTTAGTTTGAAATTAGTCTGAAAAGTCAGGTGGCACAACCATAAGTGGTCAAATGGCGCAACCAACTGAAATCAAGGCAATTAAAAGCCTTGATAACTATATTCAAGATATAAAATGCACATGACTGCTTGCAGACTCACTGGACTGGAAGGTGGTGTTAATGACAGTGGGGATCTGGCACTGCTGGTTGATAGAGATGAGAGTGAGGTTGTAGCTCTGTCCACACAGCAATGATACATTGCACTGGTTCTGCTGGGTAGAGCATGAGTTGAAGTGACCTCCTGACCCCAGGACTACAGCTGTGTAATTATCCACCCCTGCACTGAAGGCCCAGGAGAGCAGGGCAGTGTCTGTGGCGCAGTCCACTTGAACAGAAACACTTGTGCTGTCAGGCACACAGGGGGCTGCAGAACAGCAGGGAAAGGGTTATGATAGAGCTAATATAAAAGGATATAAAATTCGTCAAGATTACTTCATGCTAAGCAAACTGTCAGGCATCACTCACCTGTTTGCAGGCTGACCGTGTCACTGTCGGAGCTGTTGTACACTTGTCCGAGCGCTCGTACGTATGTGGTATACCGTGTACCACAGCTGAGTCCTGGAACACTGTAGCTAGTTTGTGACGTGACATTGGCCCAAGAGTCACCATTCCAGTTGTCCATGAACACCACATAACCCACAGCAACAAGGCTGGTGTCCCAGGAGACAGAAGCAACGAGGGAGGAGCAGTTCATTCTGGCCCGGACATTCTGTGGAGGACAGGGCTCTGCAAAGAACACACATTCGGTCAGTAACAACAAAATTCACTCGTTCATTCATGGCAAAGGGATTCAGGCTCTAGTTCTTATTATTAATCTGTTTCAGGTGCCAACGCACAACAGTCAGAGAGTCAGCACTGAATCAGAACTTGATTACCAGGATTACAGTCCTGGGAATCAAACAAAAATGCAGACTTCTAAATTTAGATCAGACAAATAGACAAGTTGTGAATTGACTTTCCCTGATTTAATACAACAAACAGAATATACACCGATGAGCCAAAACTATTCAACCACCTGCCTAATATGCTGTTGGTCCTCTGTGTGTCTCTGAAACAGCTCTGACCTGCAGAGGCATGGACTCTACAAGACTCTGAAGGTGCCCTGTGGTATCCAGCAACTAGATGTTAGCAGCAGATCCTTTAAGGCTTGGAAATGTAAGATGGAGCTGCCGCGGATTGGACTTTTTGTTCCAGCACATCCTAAAGATTCTAAATCGGATCAAGTGCTGTGGAATTTGGAGGCCAGGACAACACCCAAAACTTTTGATCATCTTCCTCAAATCATTCCTGAACAACGTGTACAGTTTGGCTGGGCACATTATCCTGCTTAAAGAGGACACTGCCTATACGGAATACCTCTGCCAAGGGGTGTGCCTGGTTTGATACAATGCTTGCATAGGATTGACCAGAGATTTCCAGCAGAACATGGCCCAGAGCATCACACTCCTTCTACTGGTTTATCTTCTTCCTACATTTGCATCCTGGTGCCATCTTTTCTGTAGGTAAACAGTGCACACATATGCCGTTATCCATGTGGTGTAAAAGAAAATGGGACTCACTGGACCAAACAACCGTCTAAGCGCTTTTGACGGGTGGACAGGTGTTGCACACTCTGACCTGTCTGCAGTCCACACAAGCTTTGGTTTTTTTCTGGATGTGCTCTGACCCAGTTGTCTTGCTGTAACAATTTCGCCATGGTTAAAACTGATCAGGTCTTCAACCCTGCCCATTTCTCCCGCATCCAACTGATCGACTATGAGAAAGGACTGCTCGTTTATGTCCCAGACCTTGACATGTGCTGTTGTTATGAACTTATCAATGTTATTCACTTCCTCTGTCATAATGTTTTGGCTCATTGGTATATTACATTAACATAATTATGTCTTTAGTTAACTTTTGGCAATAATTGTGCAGAATATGTTCTTTTAGTGTATGAATTACGTTCACATTTGAACAAAGTAAATTCATCAAATGCATCACTTTTTTAGTGTAGGTAACTAGCATTACCAGACTGCCAATCAAACAGTGCAAAATATAAAACTGATGGTTTGATTTGTGTTAGCACATGTCCATAATATCTACAGTCCAATCAAGGAAGGGCTATGATATGAAATCTGCCAATCCTATCGGCAAGCTATTTCACTGACTGACCTGTCATGAGCTGGTAGGGGTCAGAAGTGGCAGTTCCAGTTCCATTGCAGGCGCTGTTGTGGGCTGTGACGGTGATGTTGTAGATCTGTCCGCACTGCGTGCCGGAGAGAGCGCAGTTGGTATCAGCTGTCTCAGGACATGTGATGTTCAGGCTCTGCTGTGTCGCTGCCAGGGCAGTGAAGGTGGTGTCTTCCTGGGTAAAGTCCCAGAAGAGCTGTGCAATGAAGAGGTCATACTGCACTTTGAGGTGCTGTGGAACACATGGCTCTGGAGGGGAGATCAGAAAAAGTAGGCAATAGCTTTACTGCTAGACAATACACAAAGTTTGGGGACAACTGTTGCTTCACTTTTAAGTTTTTAATTAAGTAAGAAGGTCTTGAAGGTCTTGAAGGTCTTGAAGTGTTTAAACACTTCAAATGTTGGAGTGCTCATGAGTACTGTGTGTCATTTTTTTGCAGTTTTTGCAAAATGACAATGAGAATATGTTCACTCACTTAAACATTTTGAAAAGCTGGTGTATTTTTATCCTAAAAGATTTGTATAACTATTTTGCAATGAAGTAATATTACATATCTAATATTAAAAGTACTTGAAGGGCATCTTGTACATCTTATATTTTTTCCTCCAAGGTCCACTTATAACTTTTGTGAGGTTTTATGTACCAAAAAGCGGTCATAATTCATTTTACATTAATTTTCCAGCCTCTCTTTATCTCTTGCAATTAAACAGGTCATGATTTAGTGTGCCTGGGTGGGGCTAAACTGCTGAATAGGTGGATATATGTAAATGATTTGGTTTTGTGACATCCCAGAAACAATGAATTCCAAATTGGCTGTTTTTGCAGGATAGTTTCCATATATAACTTTAACAATGTTTACACATCACTTCAAACTCATTTATTTCAAAAAGGTGAGGGAAATTTGTTTTAATCCCTTTAAATACCAGCCACTGTGATCACATCAGCTTTTTCTACATAGAAATGGCCTTTCTTCTTTTGACTACTAGCTGATTAGCTCAACCTGCCGTGTGTCCTGCCTGGCTGAAGCCTCTCTCACCTGTCGTCAGGTATCCGCTCATGTCTGCACTTCTGTTGCACATGGCTCCGAGGGCCTGTACGCTCACTGTGTACGCTGCACCACACCTTAGAGAGCTCAACTCACAGGAAGTGCTGGAGCCGTTCGAGCTGCATCTACTGATCTGCCCCAGAGATGCCACAGCTGAAACGCTGTAACCCAGTGACCCTGCGCTTGGCCCCCACATCACCACGGCAACATCAGTCGTACAGTTCAGCACGGCCGAGATGTAAGACGGAGGACAGGGGACTGTGAGAAAAACAGTAAAAGCAAGTCAGTCAAAGATGGTTTTGGTGAAGAAAGCTAAAACAGTGATCAAGAGATTAAGAAGCAAAATTAGTTACAGTTATGCCTTAAAACAAATGTAGTCAATCAGCCAAAATGTATCTGGTGTTTGAAGTCTGCTTTTCTTAGTTCTGCCCTGGAGCTACAAAGCTAATGTGGCTAACAAGTCATGTAATCTTAATATTACTGTGTAATTTCATCCCTAAATCATCACTTGCCTCAATTGGGTTGTCAAATCATGAACTTTACATATCTGAAATATACTGTATGTCATAATGTTAGAACAAAACGCAGGCTTTTAAATAGCTGCTAATGTTTTTATATACGCAACATACATTGATCCAAGACCAGGGTTGCCAGATTCCAGCCAAAGAATGTCTAAAACCCAATAAAATGCACGAAAACTCACCCAAAAAAAGTTTCAAAAAACAGTTGAAGGTCAGCACTTCAACCATAATACTAAATAACATGACATCAATAATAAACTGCTGGATATGTTAATTGGTTATGTTTAAAAAAACATGCAGGTAAGTATTTATGTTGTCACTAGAATAGCACTGTGAAGAGAGCTTTTATGTAATTTTTAACACTGCCTGTCAAACCTGAGAAAGGCAAAAAATATCAATAAAATAAAACTCATCAATGTTAATTCATTTAAATGTGTTACAAATGATAGGACCCATAATCCCATGCAATCAGAAACTCAAATAAATAACATTAATATTGCATGTGACAAAATACACATCACTATTTCTAATACATATTTTCAAAACTTGCTGACTTCAATAATCAATATCCATTCCAGTTTACAACTATTGCAGAACCATAATTCCAAGTGAACAGGATAAGCCAAGCCATGTCTGGCCTATGAGATTACAACTGATGCCAGTAGGTCTGGAGCACTAAAGCACCCATTTCCAGCCGTGCCACACACACAATCCACAACCCACCCAATTTGGTGGGAAACCAACTGATCTGGCAACACTGCCCAAAAAAGAAAAACCAGACACATAACATGCTTTGGGTAATTGTATGCATTTGCGGTAAGGGGACTACGCGTGAATTACATTTTTCAACCACTGCTTAAAATAAATCTTTTTATCCAATATTGCTAATATCCCAAGCAAAATGTTCTCATTTTGTGAACCTGTTCTTCTTTTGTGTTCTACAGTTTTAGCTACTATAGTTTTAGCTTAAAACCAGCATTCATCTTAGGTAGCTGTCTGTAACTATTTTACAGGTAACTATTTTTGTACTTCTGAAGTAAAACAATTGATAAAACAGTGTTTCTATATTTGTGTATGTGTGAGTACCTGACTGCACAGTTGTACTGGTACTTGGAGCACTGGTACACCGGTCATCAGACGCTGTGACAGACACATAGTACATCTGTCCACATCTGAGGCCTGTTGCATTACACTGTCCCCCAGTGGACTGGCAAGTCCCAGACAAGCCGTTAGCATCTCGCAGGGTCACTGTGTACAGGCTGGCACCCATGCTAGGAGACCATGACACGTTCACATTGTTTGTCTCACAGTCTACAACTGGCAGAAAGTTCTGTGGGACACATGGCACTAGAATGGAAAATAGAACAGTGGTTTGTCAGTTGAAGCCTCATATTCACACCTGATAACCTACTACTTCTGTTTTACATTTATTTTGTGCCATTAAATCAGCATTTCAATCCGTCCTGGCATCACTCTGTGGTCTGTGACACTGATCCACATTCTTGGAGTGATCCATGTCCTGCCTTACCTGTCTTCAGTTGGACAGGTGCACTGCAGGCACTGGTGCAGTTGCTGTCCTTCGCCATTACTGTTACTGTGTAGGTCAGGCCGCAGGCCAGAGGGGAAAGGTTACAGGAAGTGCTGACTGAGGTACAATTGGTGGATTGTCCATTACTGCTGTTGGCCATTACAAAGTAAAGTGCCGCCCCTTGACTGCTTTGCCAGGAAACCGTTCCGATGTTGCTGCTGCAGTTCACACTGGCTGACACGTTTTGTGGTACACAAGGAGCTGGAAACAATACAAAATACAATTCACCACTATTAAAGGTTTAACATTCACTTATCTGCCTTATTATTGGGAATCTCTACACTAAAATAACCTCCTGGGCCCTCCACAGTGCCCCCCCACCAAAGTTTTGTTAAAGACGCGTGAGAAACACTGGGCTTGCCCCTTTTTTGGCCTTCAGAACAACATGAGTTCGCCAGGGATTCGACAAGACGCTGCATGTGTTGTGCAGAATGTTGTACCATGCAGATGATTGTGTTGCACGATTGATGCAAATTGGATGCACAGTGTTGCCACGAATAGCTTTTTTCACCTCATCAAATAGAGGCAAATAGGGCTGAAATCCATGGTGGGCCACTGAAGAATCTTGGCATCTTTGGGAGATCAGGGCTTCAAGGCCTGACAATGCCACAAATTACAAAATTGACCTTCAGGAGATCTTTAGTGTCAAGATCAGGTGTGTTAGATATGGGTTGAAATGAAACTCTGCTAGAAGGTAGTGGAAAGTAGCACGTCTAGAAGTGGGGCTATGACTACTGTCCTTGATGTCATACCTGTTCTTACAGGTGATCCTCTGCTGTTCGTACTGCTGCAGTTTTGACCTTTTGCAGCCACTGTAACAGAATATGTCTGTCCACAAGGCAGGTTAGTGACATCACAGCTTGTGGCAGTGCTGTTGCAGGTGTATGTACGTCCATCTGAACTTTGCAGCACTGCAGAATACAAAACAGCTCCATTGCCAGGAGACCAGGAGACACTGGCTGTGTTGTTGTAGCAGCCTATTACGGTCTGGACTTCCCGTGCTGGGCAGGCGGCTGAGGACAGAAATAGCGGAAATTAGCATTTAAGTTGAATGTTTTAGCATTAACATATCATGATGTATAATATTTGCTAAAAATTGCTTGAAGCTCACTTGTTGTAAAGGTTCAGTTTTATGAAATTCTGAGACAAATAACCCCCTGAGAACCACTTGATTTGAAATGACCTTTTCAGTTGAACATTGGTATAGAGTCGAGACTACTATGGATACATTAACTGATACAGCCAGCTAAAATACTGAATCAGTACTGCTACATACTAACCAGTGCGAGTCTGCAGTGTGTTGCTAGCTGTGCTGGTGCACTGCCCACGTGATGCTGTCAGACGGAATGTGTATGTTCGGCCACACTGGAGTCCCCACACTGTGCATGATGGCGTTTGTGTGTTATTACAGCTTAGCTGTCCACCCTGACCGTCCACTGCAGAGACGGTGTACAGATCTGCTCCACCTGACCCTGACCCAGCTCCTGACCAAACTGCCAGAGCTGAACCAGAGCTACAGTCCAGCACTACATCACTCAGAGTGGGCACACAAGGAGCTGAAACAGAGAGAGATTTCTGTCTCATTATAAGGAAACTGCAATATGATAAACCATTAAATCAATGACATTCAATCTCAGCCCATCTATCCCCCGTATCTCCATCATTTCCTGGATAAAGAACAACTGCATTCATTCAGTAGTGTTTATAGTGACACTGATCCCAGGTGTTGGTGGGATCAATGTCCTGCTTTACCTGTCTGCAGTTGGACAGGTGCACTGCAGGGACTGGTGCAGTTACTATCCTTCGCCATTACTGTGACTGTGTAGGTCAGGCCGCAGGCCAGAGGGGAAAGGTCACAGGAAGTGCTAGCTGAAGTACAGTTAGTTGATTGTCCGTTGCTGCTGTTGGCCATTACAAAGTAAAGTGCCGCCCCTTGACTGCTTTGCCAGGAAACCGTTCCAATGTTGCTACTGCAGTTCACACTGGCTGTCACGTTTTGAGGTACACAAGGAGCTGGAAACAATACAAAATATAACTGATCAAAATGCAATTAAGAACCAAGACAAACTTTATTTATATGAGTCTGAAATCAATGACTTTTTCACTTTACATAAATGATTAGGTCTTGACCAGAACTAAATATATAAGAACAAAAACAAAAGCTCTCCTGTTCAACATCTGACTCAACATATGAGCATTGTGTTTTATAATGGTGGTCATGATACCTGCTCCTGGAGATCTAGTGCCCTGCAGGTAGTTCAGTTTAAAACTGCTACTGGACCAACATACCTGATCCAGTTAAGCAGGACTTTTAGAAGATCTGACTGATCAGATCAAGTGTGTAACACACACACACATACACACACACACACATCATCTAAACCGCTTATCCTTCTGGGTCGCGGTGGGGTGCTGGAGCCCATGCCAGCTGTCAAGTTTGTAACTTTAAGGTTGAAATTAAACTACGTTAGAAGGTAACAGAAGGTCTATATCGTACCAGTTCTTACAGGTGATCCTGTGCTGTTAGTACTGCTGCAGTTTTGACCCTTTGCAGCCACTGTAACAGAATATGTCTGTCCACAAGGCAGGTTAGTGACATCACAGCTCATGGCAGCGCTGTTGCAGGTGTATGTGCGTCCGTCTGAACTTTGTAGCGTTGCTGAATATGAAACAGCTCCATCGCCAGGAGACCAGGAGACACTGGCTGTGTTGTTGCGGCAGCCTATTGTGGTCTGGATTGCTCGTGCTGGGCAGGCGGCTGAGGACAGAAATAGCGGAAATCAGCATGTAAGTTCAATGTTTTAGCATTAACATATCATGATATATAATATTTGCTAATAATTGCTTGAAGCTCACTTGTTGCAAAGGTTTCTGAGACAAACAAACCCCTACTATTGGAAACCACTGGCTTTATTTGAAATTACCTTTTCAGTAGAACTTCTCCATTGGTATGGAGTCGAGACTACTATGGGTACATTAGTTGAAGTAAAACATGAAATGAGTATTCAAATACAGCCAGCTTAAATACTGAATCAGTACTGCTACATACTAACCAGTGCGAGTCTGCAGTGTGTTGCTAGCTGTGCTGGTGCACTGCCCACGTGATGCTGTCAGACGGAATGTGTATGTTCGGCCACACTGGAGTCCCCACACTGTGCATGATGGCGTTTGTGTGTTATTACAGCTTAGCTGTCCACCCTGACCGTCCACTGCAGAGACGGTGTACAGATCTGCTCCACCTGACCCTGACCCAGCTCCTGACCAAACTGCCAGAGCTGAACCAGAGCTACAGTCCAGCACTACGTCACTCAGAGTGGGCACACAAGGAGCTGAAACAGAGAGAGATTTCTGTCTCATTATAAGGAAACTGCAATATGATAAACCATTAAATCAATGACATTCAATCTCAGCCCATCTATCCCCCGTATCTCCATCATTTCCTGGATAAAGAACAACTGCATTCATTCAGTAGTGTTTATAGTGACACTGATCCCAGGTGTTGGTGGGATCAATGTCCTGCTTTACCTGTCTGCAGTTGGACAGGTGCACTGCAGGGACTGGTGCAGTTACTATCCTTCGCCATTACTGTGACTGTGTAGGTCAGGCCGCAGGCCAGAGGGGAAAGGTCACAGGAAGTGCTAGCTGAAGTACAGTTAGTTGATTGTCCGTTGCTGCTGTTGGCCATTACAAAGTAAAGTGCCGCCCCTTGACTGCTTTGCCAGGAAACCGTTCCAATGTTGCTACTGCAGTTCACACTGGCTGTCACGTTTTGAGGTACACAAGGAGCTGGAAACAATACAAAATATAACTGATCAAAATGCAATTAAGAACCAAGACAAACTTTATTTATATGAGTCTGAAGTCAATGACTTTTTCACTTTATATAAATGATTAGGTCTTGACCAGAACTAAATATATAAGAACAAAAACAAAAGCTCTCCTGTTCAACATCTGACTCAACATATGAGCATCGTGTTTTATAATGGTGGTCATGATACCTGCTCCTGGAGATCTAGTGCCCTGCAGGTAGTTCAGTTTAAAACTGCTACTGGACCAACATACCTGATCCAGTTAAGCAGGACTTTTAGAAGATCTGACTGATCAGATCAAGTGTGTAACACACACACACATACACACACACACACATCATCTAAACCGCTTATCCTTCTGGGTCGCGGTGGGGTGCTGGAGCCCATGCCAGCTGTCAAGTTTGTAACTTTAAGGTTGAAATTAAACTACGTTAGAAGGTAACAGAAGGTCTATATCGTACCAGTTCTTACAGGTGATCCTGTGCTGTTAGTACTGCTGCAGTTTTGACCCTTTGCAGCCACTGTAACAGAATATGTCTGTCCACAAGGCAGGTTAGTGACATCACAGCTCATGGCAGCGCTGTTGCAGGTGTATGTGCGTCCGTCTGAACTTTGTAGCGTTGCTGAATATGAAACAGCTCCATCGCCAGGAGACCAGGAGACACTGGCTGTGTTGTTGCGGCAGCCTATTGTGGTCTGGATTGCTCGTGCTGGGCAGGCGGCTGAGGACAGAAATAGCGGAAATCAGCATGTAAGTTCAATGTTTTAGCATTAACATATCATGATATATAATATTTGCTAATAATTGCTTGAAGCTCACTTGTTGCAAAGGTTTCTGAGACAAACAAACCCCTACTATTGGAAACCACTGGCTTTATTTGAAATTACCTTTTCAGTAGAACTTCTCCATTGGTATGGAGTCGAGACTACTATGGGTACATTAGTTGAAGTAAAACATGAAATGAGTATTCAAATACAGCCAGCTTAAATACTGAATCAGTACTGCTACATACTAACCAGTGCGAGTCTGCAGTGTGTTGCTAGCTGTGCTGGTGCACTGCCCACGTGATGCTGTCAGACTGAATATGTATGTTCGGCCACACTGGAGTCCCCACACTGTGCATGATGGCGTTTGTGTGTTATTACAGCTTAGCTGTCCACCCTGACCGTCCACTGCAGAGACGGTGTACAGATCTGCTCCACCAGACCCTGATCCAGCTCCTGACCAAACTGCCAGAGCTGAACCAGAGCTACAGTCCAGCACTACGTCACTCAGAGTGGGCACACAAGGAGCTGAAACAGAGAGAGATTTCTGTCTCATTATAAGGAAACTGCAATATGATAAACCATTAAATCAATGACATTCAATCTCAGCCCATCTATCCCCCGTATCTCCATCATTTCCTGGATAAAGAACAACTGCATTCATTTATTAGTGTTTACAGTGACACTGATCTCAGTGTTTGGTGCCTTACCTGTCTGCAGTTGGACAGGTGCACTGCAGGCACTGGTGCAGTTACTATCCTTCGCCATTACTGTGACTGTGTAGGTCAGTCCACAGGCCAGAGGGGAAAGGTCACAGGAAGTGCTAGCTGAAGTACAGTTAGTTGATTGTCCGTTGCTGCTGTTGGCCATTACAAAGTAAAGTGCCGCCCCTTGACTGCTTTGCCAGGAAACTGTTCCGATGTTGTTGCTGCTGCAGTTCACACTGGCTGTCACGTTTTGAGGTACACAAGGAGCTGGAAACAATACAAAATATAACTGATCAAAATGCAATTAAGAACCAAGACAAACTTTATTTATATGAGTCTGAAATCAATGACTTTTTCACTTTACATAAATGATTAGGTCTTGACCAGAACTAAATATATAAGAACAAAAACAAAAGCTCTCCTGTTCAACATCTGACTCAATCGTGTTTTATAATGGTGGTCATGATAACTGCTCCTGGAGATCTAGTGCCCTGCAGGTAGTTCAGTCTAAAACTGCTACTGGACCAACATACCTGATCCAGTTAAGCAGGACTTTTAGAAGATCTGACTGATCAGATCAAGTGTGTAACTTTAAGGTTGAAATTAAACTACGTTAGAAGGTAACAGAAGGTAGCATCTCCACGAGTGAGGCCCTTGTGCCTTCTTGATCTATATCATACCAGTTTTTACAGGTGATCCTGTGCTGTTAGTACTGCTGCAGTTTTGACCCTTTGCAGCCACTGTAACAGAATATGTCTGTCCACAGGGCAGGTTAGTGACATCACAGCTTGTGGCAGCACTGTTGCAGGTGTATGTGTGTCCGTCTGAACTTTGCAGTGTTGCTGAATGTGAAACAGCTCCATCGCCAGGAGACCAGGAGACACTGGCTGTGTTGTTGCGGCAGCCTATTGTGGTCTGGATTGCTCGTGCAGGGCAGGCGGCTGAGGACGGGAAGAGAGGAAATCAACTTTTTCCATTTTAGCATTAATGTTGGCATGTTGTACCACCATGTTTCAAGTTTTCTAAAAATTTATTAAAGCAAATTATTTGTAAGGTAAAGTTTTTTGTAATTCAGAGCAAATCAAATTCCTGACACAGTAGGCAACCGCATCATTCAAACATTTCCAATGGAACTTCTCCCCACAGCAAACAAAGGTGTGAAGCGACTGCTAAGGGTTAATTTTTTAAAACAATTAATGAAAATATGTGTGCAGAAGGTTCTGTCCACTGCAAAAAATATCTTGACAAGTAACATAATCTTAAATCTAGTAGATATATCTAATCTTTCTCATTTTGAGAATGTTATTTTCAGACTGTGAGAACATATTAATAACTTCCAGACGTATTTTCTTGTTTAAGTCATTTTGTCAAGTGAAATTAACTCATAATACTGACAGATAATTTTGCTTGTTTCAAGCATATTTCTTAAAATAGTCAAAATTATCTGTCAATACAGTAAGATAGTTTTACTTGAAACCCAAAATGAAAAATATTATTAGACATACTGACTAGATTTAAGATGATTTAATTTGCCAAGATACCATTTTTTGCAGTGTTGGTGTTGTTACTGTACATGACTGTAAACAGTGGGTGTGATAGTTGAAGTACTAAATGTAAATAAATGTAAAGAGTGTTCATATTTTAGTACTAGTGGTTGTATGAAGTATGAAAACTGCAGTCTGAAATATTCAGTGAGTGTGGCTACATACTAACCAGTGCGAGTCTGCAGTGTGTTGCTAGCTGTGCTGGTGCACTGCCCACGTGATGCTGTCAGACGGAATGTGTATGTTCGGCCACACTGGAGTCCCCACACTGTGCATGATGGCGTTTGTGTGTTATTACAGCTTAGCTGTCCACCCTGACCGTCCACTGCAGAGACGGTGTACAGATCTGCTCCACCTGACCCTGACCCAGCTCCTGACCAAACTGCCAGAGCTGAACCAGAGCTACAGTCCAGCACTACGTCACTCAGAGTGGGCACACAAGGAGCTGAAACAGAGAGAGATTTCTGTCTCATTATAAGGAAACTGCAATATGATAAACCATTAAATTAATGACATTCAATCTCAGCCCATCTATCCCCCGTATCTCCATCATTTCCTGGATAAAGAACAACTGCATTCATTTATCAGTATTTACAGTGACAATGATCCCAGTTGTTGGTGTGATCCATGTCCTGCCTTACCTGTCTGCAGCTGGACAGGTGCACTGCAGGCACTGGTGCAGTTGCTGTCCTTCGCCATTACTGTGACTGTGTAGGTCAGTCCACAGGCCAGAGGGGAAAGGTCACAGGAAGTGCTAGCTGAGGTACAATTGGTGGATTGTCCGTTGCTGCTGTTGGCCATTACAAAGTACAGAGCTGCCCCTTGACTGCTTTGCCAGGAAACCGTTCCAATGTTGTTGCTGCAGTTCACACTGGCTGTCACATTTTGAGGTACACAAGGAGCTGGAAACAATACAAAATCAAGTTTTCATTTTAAATAATTGTAATAAAATTTTAATAAATTCATTTTTGATAACCCACAAAAGATTTGCCCTAATTATCGAGAACAACAGAAGCTCTCCTGTTCAAAATCTAACGCTGTAAATAGTTGTCATGTCTGGGGGTGCACTGATATGGAATTTCTGAGCCAATAATTAGCACCTTGTTGTGGTCGATAACTGATCCAACTCATAAAGGGCTTAATAAATAGTTAATTAAGTGTTTAAGCAAAAAAGAGCTGAAAATGCGCAGGTCCCCAGGAGCAGGATTAAGACACACTGATCTAGAACCATTTATTGCAGTAGGTATATGTAAAATTCCAAATGTTGCCCCAGCACTCTTATTGTGACATTCCTCCTTGGATGGGAATCAAGCCCCAGTCTCCATTGTGTGAGACAGAAGTGTGATCCAATATGTGAATGTATTTGTGTATGTTTAAAAAGAAAAGAACTTCCCACCACTAATGCCCATGCGAGTGTCTGTGTTTGCGCACACAAAAACAGGGAGTAAAATTATTGGTTGTTATTTTCTGTAATTCCAATATCACACCATTAATAATAGTAATATTAATAATATTAATAGTAATTCAATTGTCCTTTGTATTTGCAAACAATACATCTACTGATATATTCACACCTATATATCAGGTGTGTTAGATCTGGGTCAAAACAAATCTCTGCTGGAAGGTGGTATCTAGGAGTGGGTCTGTGACCACTGAGGTGATGTCATACCTGTTCTTACAGGTGATCCTGTGCTGTTAGTACTGCTGCAGTTTTGACCCTTTGCAGCCACTGTAATAGAATATGTCTGTCCACAAGGCAGGTTAGTGACATCACAGCTCGTTGCAGCGCTGTTGCAGGTGTATGTGCGTCCGTCTGAACTTTGCAGTGTTGCTGTATATGAAAGAGCTCCATCGCCAGGAGACCAGGAGACACTGGCTGTGTTGTTGCGGCAGCCTATTGTGGTCTGGATTGCTCGTGCAGGGCAGGCAGCTGAGGACGGGAAGAAGGGAACTGGTGTTTAATTTTAACATTTTAGCACGAACATTGCTTTATACTACCATGTCCAGTCCAGTTTTATAATAATTTGTTAAACTATTTGTAAAGATTCCACTGCATAAATATAATAATTTTTACTGCAATTCGAAGCCACTGACTTTATTCAAAACAATTTTTCCAGAGAAATTTCCCCAGACTCCAAACAGTAGAGGTGAGGCTACTATTGGTTGAGGCTACTATCATATTACAGGTTAAAGTGGCACAAATCCAAGGTTTTGCTGAATTTTGACATCAGACACTCCTTCTGATTAGTGAATTCAGATGCTGTAAGGTGCACCCATTGCTGACACAAGTGCACACACGCAGTTTGTATAAACTCTATAGAAAAGTATTGCTAATGGAATGGGATGCTTTGGGCAGCTGCACATGAGCCTAAGGTCACCAGGCCCAATGCCAAGCATCAACTAGAGGGGTATAAAGCCCCACATTGGGCTGTAGAGCAGCAGAACTGTGTTCTCTGTAGAGATATAGCTCTATTCAATATTTTTTAGATGAGTTAGAGTGGAGTTTGTGATACAATGTATGTGGTCCTGAGTTGGAAACCTGTCTGAAACTGTCTGGCCATGAATTTGTAATGAGATAGGAACTTCTTTCACATCTTCTTTTAAAATCTTTCAATGATGGCAGCAGTGACTCACTCAGGAAAAAATGTATTGTAGTTAGTGTGGGGCACTGAAATACCTTACTTTTACACTTTATCTGAGGAAATAAGGCAATCCAGATAAAGCTGAAAAAGTTTCTAGGAAAACTATTATTTGTTGTTCACAAAACACTGAATCATACACATCATTAATATTGAAAAAAATGTGCATGCAGAACCTTTCAGGGTAAAGCTGGCTTACACTGATGTCAAATATCACTTAGAAGCATGAATGTGGACTGTCAAGGCAAAATGCATAGATCTGAGTAAAAAATCTGAACTGAACTGTAAAGTGAATCTATCATACTAACCAGTGCGAGTCTGCAGTGTGTTGCTAGGTGTGCTGGTACACTGTGCTCCTCCTGCTGTCACACTGAATGTGTATGTTCGGCCACACTGGAGTCCCCACACTGTGCATGATGGCGTTTGTGTGTTGTTGCAACCTAGCTGTTCACCCTGACCATCCACAGCAGTGATGGAGAACAGGTTTACTCCACCGGATCCCGACCCAGCTCCTGACCAAACTGCCAGAGCTGAACCAGAGCTACAGTCCAACACCACGTCACTCAGAGTGGGCACACAAGGAGCTGAGACAGAGAGAGATTTCTGTTAAGCCAATATAATAGCACAATTCTATTAGATCTTTCTAAATTATGCTTATGTAATACAAAGACATATATGTGAACTACAATATAGCTGCTTCTACAAGGCTCACAAAACTCTTTTTTATGCTATAAATCTGAACACACTGCATGCATTAAATAACACAGATCAGGGTTTCTCAACCACTGGGCCGAGGACCACAAGTGGGCCACGGATCACCCCCTGGTGGTCCTTGAGTGTATACTGATGGGGCCAGTGGTCCATAGTCGACCTGTGATGGCACTCTGTCATAAAAATCAGTAAAAAGATAACTGACTTAATGATAAAAACTATTTTTTTTTTAAGACTGTTAAAAACATTAACACAAGCCCTGCAATAACAGCGCACAAAGGCAGCTTCTGCAATTTTGGTGTCCTTTGCCTCTACGAACACCTGACCTTTCAGTTGTCCACTCACACCAATATTCTGCCGATATTTTATGTTCACTGATACACATCACATACTGCAAGGGTAGGCACCCAAACATCACCATGTTAAAAAAAATTCTATGTAAATTTTTTTTTTAATTTTAAGCAAAAGCGTTTGTTTCCTGTGGGCCTTCTTGCTTTCTAGTGATAAACAGGTGGGCCTTGAGGTGGAAAAGGCTGAGAACCCCTGATATAGATAATGCCCTGGTTAATGTTAAAAGGGGCAGATACACTAATATTTTGCTCCATTGCAAACTGTTTTAGGGTTAAAAAGTGGCTGTCGGAATTAACTAAAAAGGGGCAACGGCTCTTTAGCACTTATAATAAAATGAAAGGAGCCGTCACTGCTTTTTTGTGTTTTTGCCTCAATGCATTTGCTTTTATAGGAGTTTCCCTTTCAAAGCGCTAAATACCAGGAGAAGATTATTCTGATGAAGAACTTTATTCTGATTTACTAAGGTTGATAGTAAATACTGACTGTACGTTATTTAATGCCTGAGAAAACCTTGTTTCTATTTTTGCTGCTAATGTAGCTGCCACTGTTGTGTCTGAGAGAGAAAAGGTCAAATTTACCAGTCAAGATTCTTTTTTTCCAAGCTCAATGAAAAAAAATTGGGGTCGCTCACCATATCATGGTCATGATGAAGAGAATAAAAACTGAACCAATTTGTTTCAATAAAATAGTGATTTAAACTGATATTTCCTACTACTGTGGTTATATTTTGCACTCACCAAAGTATCTTAAGAGCAGAGGTTGCCTCAATAATGATTTGACAATTTTTTTGCCCACACTACTGTGAAACTCCTTGACTCTGCAATTACTGCTTTACTAGCTACTTGTTAACGTTTTTGAGCTGTCGCTTCTGTTACAGAAATGTCACAGTCCTGGTCTGATGGTTGAGATGATACACACACCACATCATACAAATCATACAGTTCCTAATCGAGCAGGAAATGCTCAGTGAAATTAAACAAGAATTTTAAAATATTGCATGAATTCTAAATGCGCTAAGCACCAAACTTTACCTAAGCTCTAACCACCAAACAAACCTGTTTCAGAACATCAAAATAATTACTTACTGTCATAAAATTACCTAGTATGTCAAAATAATGATGAATTATCTCAAAATAATCACACACTTTCTCAAAGAGTAATAACTTGTTCTTTAGTAGTCCATCACAATTTTGACCTACTAAGTCAAAACCTCAAGAAAATAAGACACTATGTCAACCTAATGAGTCACAATTTGAACCAGAATCAGACAATAAAAAATGCTATTTCTCCTCTATCTGGTGTAAGCAGGATTTCAGTCAAACACGTGTTTATATTGCGCTACTCATATGTTAATTATGAAGTTGCACCTGTGTTCATTTGCATGGAAGGTCTTAGTACATAAGACACTAAATTAGCCACCTCCATAAAACATGACAGTGCACATGTTTTGACACTTTTGACCATGTATAATTGGCATCCTGACCTGTAAAGAAGGAGTACACAGCACTAGGTGCACTCGTGCAGTTGTCTTTAGTCGCTATGACAGTGACGTTGTACTGAGTGCCGCAGTGCAGGCCTGTGAGAGCACAGCTAGAGTTTGTGCTGTTACACTCCACCTCAGAAGGGGATGCCACATTGGTGATGGCCCTTGCAGTGTACACAGCACCAAGAACACTCGAAGTGTTCCATGACACAGTTGCAGTGTTGGTGGAGCAATTAACCACAGCAGTGACGGAGCTGGGAGGACAGGGCGCTACGGAGAGGTGGAGAGAGAGAAGAGTAAAAAAGATCTAGAACAAGACATTGTGGGATAGACACTGTTTTAAGAAATAACAGACAATTACATGTTATATGGTATATATACCAGACAATTATATATAAACGAATGGTGTCACAAGTAATGTGTTAATAAAGCAATAAATTATTAATGACATTTATTACGTATTATTTATGTATTCTCATTCAAATACAACTTTAAAATGGCAAGACGTTCCATTAATGGCTACCTTGATAAAGTGGATACATTTTCCATCGACTGCCATAGTAGATTTGCGTAACACTTAAGCAAGCAAAGCTCAGCACTGATGCCAGCAACCTCAGCAATAAAATCTTTCTTTAGGGTCAATTTGAACAAATAACAAATGTGATTAATCGGGATTAACTACACAAAATAATGCAATTCATCGCAATTAATTATTTTAATTATTGACACCCCTATTACAAACACAAAATAATGTACAACTGATCTCTCAGTTTTTTTTATATGCTTCTGAAGTCTCACTTAACTGAGACTGTGAAGACTTTTCCCAAACCACTAGAATTGGTTTGGTTTCTGATTGTGAAATATTTTTGTAGTGCATATGGTTTCACACAAGTGTTAATGAAAGATGACTTTGCAACTAAGTAAAACTGTTTTACCAAAAATCTGAACAGAGAAACTCTTGTGAAATTTTTGTTAGATTTTGTCCTGATTTCTATCATGGTCATTTTAACTTAAATACCGTTAGAATCATACAGTACCATACCTTATTGTTCTGTTTTAACCATACCTGTGCTGGCTTGCCTGATGGCACTGCGTGAGCTATTGCAGCTGTCACCCACAGCAACCACGCTGACGTCATAGGTCTGTCCACAGCCAAGGGCGGGGATAACACAGGAAGTGTAGGAAGAGTAACAGCTAAGGAGATGTCCAGGGAACGTCACAGCTTCTGCACGGTACATTAGTGCTCCACTAGTAGGTTGCCAGACAACACTCAGGTTGCCTGATTGGCAGGTAAGTAGCTGGAACTGCACGGTCTGAGGAGCACAGGGAGCTGAAGACAAGAATAAAAAAAAAGTAATTCAGCAAGTTTAACCATTTAAGTAACCAGTAACTTTTTTCCTTTTATATTCACAGTACCAGCCCACGTACACTACACAAGATTAAAGTAAGTTTGGATATTTCTGATTTGAGACTCTCAATACAGATGAACTGATGTTTGTATGGCAAATCATAGAATTTAATAAAACTCTTAACAGGACGTACATTAGCTACTACAGCACTATGCGTGAAGAGAAAAGGCGAACAAGAGGCCAACTGTTTGCTTGACTTAGATAATGAATTTAATGTTCACTATGCCTGCTGACAAGGTGGATTCTTCCCAAGTTTCTGACTGAGAATTTCAACTTAGGTGACTGGTGTACTGTACATTTTCAAGTCATATTTTCCCAAGTTCTGAGTACAAAGGAACACAGCATTATAAGCAGAGGTTCTTAGTCCAGTTCAGATCCTGAGCCAGTAATGATTTTTGTTCTATCCCAGTTCCTAACACACTTAAGTCAGGTGATCTACATTTCACCTTCAAGGGACAAAGGAAGTGGGCATGCTAAGCACTCTGCATTACCCTCTATTTTGGATTTCTGTCCTGCTTTCTTTTCATGAATGTGACTTTAAGACACTACATAAGAATCGTGCAAGGCCCAACCTGATCTTGGAGATCTAACATCCTTTAAAATTTTGTTTCAATCCTGTATTTTGAGATCAGCCAACAGAGTTCAGTTTCAAAGCTCATACTGGAGATCATACCTGTTTAGTTCCTACCCTAGTTACTGTCCTAAGATTACACACTACAGTACATCTGGATATACTGGTAAATCAATCAGTCATCAGTCACCTGTTTTGAGAGTGTACGTTAAGCTCTTGCTCCCAACACAGTCCCATCCATATGCTGTGACAGACACGTTGTATGTCTGCCCACATATCAGGCCACTGATGTCACAGGAAGTGCTGCTAGAGTTGCAGGTCAGTGTCAGTCCACTACTAGGCTCTGCTGATGCGATGTAATATGCCACAATACTGCTAGATGGACTCCAGGCAACTGAAGTCGTGTTGGAGTTACATGTCGACGTCACATTTAGCCCAGAGGGAGCACAGGGTGCTGAGAGGAGGCGGGGTAAAAAGAGATGAAGGAAGTTTATTAAAAATCAATTGACAATGGCTTTTTCAGATCACAGTCACAAAACACTGCGTCCCTATTAAAACGTGTGCAATGTCCTTTGTTGGGTTTCCTGTTTTATTGTATTTTGTGCTAATGTGATGTTAAAATGATTGTTATAAAGCTATAATATCTGTATACACTACTTAGCTAAACTGCACTCATGTGTTCTTTAGTTGCGTTGTGTCTGTAATAATTGTTTAGTTGTATTGTACCTGTATAACTGATCTGACTGTGAGGTACATTAATTACCTGTAATCTGAGTGGCTTATTTAGATATACTGTACATGTTAATTCAGCTGTGGATATACCTGTGTCTAGCACAGTTGAGACAGCAGAGGGGCTGGAGCACATCTGGCTGTATCCAGTAACAGTGACACTGTAGCGCTGACCACACGGCAGGGTGCTGATGTTGCAGGAAGATCCATAAGAAACACAACTGAACTGCTGTAGGGTCTGGAGTGACTGAACTGTGACATTCGAAAGTTGTGTCCCACTGCCGAGTGACCAGGAGACGAGTGCAACATTGGAGCTGCAGACCATCGAGGCTTGGAGGTTGGTGCTGGGGCAGGGTGCTAGAATAGTTTTACAAAGTTTTTGAGTGGACTTGTTTTGAGACTACTCAATTAGTGAATGTAAGAATGTCTAAGAGAGTCTAAATGACCATAACATAACACAAATGTATTGGTTGCCTACATCTAGTCCCAATGTAATATCTACTATCTAAGTAATAGATATTATGAAAAAATGCCAAATGCTTCGCCTTAAATGACAAGTTTCTATATCTTTATAAAAACATACTTACAGTCCTGGCTTTTCTGCGATTTGTAACATTTATTACAGTTATATTACCTTTGAATACAATGCATTTCAGACAGACATATGTCTAATTTAAACCATTTGATTAATTTTTCCCCAAAAACCATGGCCCCATGACCCTTGTGCTAACCCCTTGACTCTGGTACCTGCACTGAGGGTGATGTCTTGGCTTGCAGGGCTGAAGCAGCCGTTGCGCTGGGCTGCAACTCTGATGCTGTAATTCTGACCACACTGCAGGCCAGTGATAGAGCACTGCGGGTTTGTGTTGTTGCAGGAAGTGTTGTAGCCAGCGCTGCCCACAGCGCTCACCAGGTACGAGGTTACACCCAGGGCTGCGTCCCATGAGACGGAGGCATAGTTGGAGGTGCAGTTGAGACTGGCTATGACATGAGTGGGAGAGCATGGTGCTGGAGAAATGATTGAGCGGGAAAGAGAAAGAGGAGACAAGAAAGAAACATAAAGAGTGAGAGTTTTTTTTTTACCAAGATTTCAGTCTGATTTGTACATAATAAAATCCCCAGTGTTGAATTAACACCTGAACTGACCACTAGAGGGTTCTTATGTATCCAGCTGAACACAAATGAGCACTAGGAATTAGGCTGTGTATGAATTATCTGTGAGACTGAAGAGTGAAGATGACTGTTCACATATGAAACCAGTACTAACCACAATTTGAAGATGTTTCTACAGTAATAGAGTGTTTTCATAGTTAGGGTAAAGAAGATCTTTTGTGTTGCTAGCATTGTTCCGGCATGATGGTAACACCAAATCATTGGAACCAGTTGAACAAATTAAAACAACTGCTCTGATATCATGCTTTGAAGCTTTTCATGTAATCCTACATCACATAGACTAATAGTGGTGTTTATATATCTGGTGACAGATATAAACTGACAGCTCTGTATAAATTACAATTCGATTCGACACTTGTATGTTACATACTTCTATTTTCTGTACAACTGTGATAGTGCCTTCATAATTTAGATGAGTGCTTCTTTATAAAGGAGTAAAACTTGATTGATTTTACCAAGCTTAACCTATTTTTCATTTATTTATTGCAATATGTATATCATGTTTTCAATATGTGTTCAAGAATTGCTTTTTCATGATCTATAAACAGGAATAAAACACATGTACATGGTATTATTGTATCCAAATGGAAGCTGTAATTAAGGCGAAGGATAGACACATTAAACACTGGACTTGTAATGAAGGGTGGTCTCTAACCTTTGCAGTATATACTGAGTGTAAGGTGTGTGAGGTACCTGTAATGAGCTCCACGGTGCTGCTCACTTTGCTCACACACTGGTCATTGCGGCTGACAACGGTGACGTTCAATGTGCGGCCACAGCTTAGGCCGTTGAGCACACAGCTGCTGCTGCTGGAGCTGCATGTGACATTTCCACTCAGTGTGTCCACAGCTGTCACACTATAGCTCTGAGCAGTACCCCAGGGCCCCCACTGCACCGTGGCAGAGTTAGAGCCGCACTGCAGATCCACTGAGATGTTCTGGGGCTTACAGGGTACTGGGGAGAATGGGGTGGGATTAAGACTGAAAACACTAAAAAAACTGCCATAAACTGAATCTTATCGAAGTGTATCTCAGTTGTAAACAAAAGAGAAATGCTGTGTTCATGTGTGGGCCCTGTTCAATTTGCTGACTGAAAAAAAATATTTCAAAAAAGTTATTTAATAGCAAACATTCCCACCAGCCTTACATCATGATGGTAGGGCTTAGACTAGACCTTTTGTAAGTATTTTCAGTACTCACTGGATCTAATCTAATAACAATCTGCTTTAACCTAACTGATCTTGGATTCAGTAAACAATTCAATTCAACTCAACTCAAATAAAAAGAAAACTGGGTCAATGTAACATTATTGGACTTGTTGTGAATTTGCTGTTACCTGACTGGTTCTGTTATCACTTTCTTTAACCTGTTTGTAACTCTGGTTTGACTGGATCTGGTATTAATTTGTTCTGAACTGACTGGATTTGCTAGGTAGCTCTAGACTATATCCATCATCAGTTAACTATGTTATTAACCTCTTAAAGAGGAATTCCACCAATTTTCCAAAATTCCAAAATCTCTGCATAATGCAATAATTGAGATGTAAACAAAGTCATTCAGAGTGGTGGTATGTAAAATGGTTTATTAAGAAACTTACTAAATCAGAATTGTTCACAGTGGTGGTGACAGGAACCAGGGCTTGCAATGTTTACAACACAAATACAGCCAATTTGTTGGCTATCCAAAAGTTTTATATGTAATAATGATAGTAAAATAGAGGTAAATCTGACAAAATGTCTTTGGGGACAACCTGCATGCACCTCTTCTCCATGACTGGCTTGGGAGGCTGTTGTGGGCTGGAGGTTAGGGAACCTGCCTTTTGACCGGAAGGTCACCAGTTCGATCCCCTGAGCTAGCAGGACATGATTGAAGTGCCCTTGAGCAAGGCCCCTAACCTCCAACTGCTGTGGACAGGGTGCTCTGGTATGCTCCCTGCCCCCCAAGAGTGTGTGCTTTCACTAGTGTGTATGTGGGTGTTTCACTGCACAGTTAAATGAATGGGTGAATCCCCACCATGGGATTAATAAAAGGTAATTTAACTACGTTTTAGGCTAAAATCTCAAAACAATGTCTAGACATCAGGCAGGTGTAATATCTTTCTATGATGTAGCTTTTAAGGTATTAAACTCTTCTAACAGCTGGATCCTATTGCCACCACTGTAAACATTCAGACTCAATAAGTTTCTCAGTAAGTTTCCGGAAGCGAGCATTTCACATCAAAACACTTTAACATTGTTTACATTTTAATGATTAAATTATCACCGCGACCCAGAAGGATAAGCGGTTTAGGTGATGTACGTATGTATGTATGATTAAATTATGCAATATTTAAAATCAAATCAGTGGAATTTGACTGACTGGATTTGGAGTGTACATACTTTAACTTAATTGGCTCTGAATACAGATTTCCTCTTACCTGACTGGATCTGGGTTACTGAGGCCTGTGGGATGCTGCAGTTGCTGGAGGAGCTGGCCACAGTGACATTGTATGTCTCGCCACAGCGCAGGCCCAGGATGGAGCAGGAGGAAGAGGAGGAGGCATTGCAGGAAGCTTGGTGACCACTGATGCTGGTCGCCACAGCCGTGTAGAGATCAGAGCCAAATGTGCCCTGCCACTGCACAGCAAGCTGGTTAGCAGCACAATCTAGGGCTGCAGTTACATTCTGTAGCAGACAGGGGGCTAGAAAACAAAGAGAGAATAGAGTTAAAACAGTGCTGTGGGGCTTTGAAGTCAGTTTAGAGTTTTCCTTGCACTAACACAACCGATTAAACATATCAGGTACTTATGTAAACGAATCAGGCCTATTGGAGCAAGAAAAATACCAAAATGTGCATCCCTCCAGGATCTGAGTTTGAGAAACTTAGTTTAAACGTTTTACAGGTTGGCATAATGGATCTAATTCTTCAATGCTGCATAAAAATACGCTCTCAAAATGATGTACAAACTACTCCACTGCTGTTGCATGATGTCAAAATGAGCAATACAACTGATTTGAGTCCACTTGATAAACCAGCTTTGTGGAAAAAGCATGCTTGCACTAGTCCCTTATTTGAAAAAGCATGCTTTTTCCACAAAGCTGGTTTAACAACACCCTTAATGTTAATTATAATTAATCACTAAGTAATTATTTATTAGTTAATTTATTATTCACAATATTGAACTCTTTTATCTTGTTCACTGATATTGTTTTGAGATTATTTTATGCAGTACTTTCTTAAATGCAAACTCTACATTAATGTTGGACAAATTACATCTTATCCTTTATGGTCACTTAATCAGAATGCCCTACCATGAAGCTCCACCTTCCCGGTGTACAGTTAGAGAATGTAGCTCATTTGTTGATGCACAGTTTGTGTTAGACATCTTCTAGCCATTTAGACAATTTCTGAGAATGGTTCACATGCCACATAATATCTGGGCTAAAACCGTGTGCATTTCAGGGAGGATCAGACAAAATGTGGTAACATCCCACATAAAGTGTGTTGAGATGTTACACATGCAGCTGATTACCCATTAAAATCGATTTACTAAAGCCTAAGGAAGTTACAGTGACCGTTTTCATGTCTTATTGTTTCACAAACTCTATTTTCTTAGCTGGAGTAAAATAACACCCCTGTGGAATGTTTTGGTGGGAAATACTGCTCTCTCTTGGGCTTTTAAACCCCGGACCTCATGAGTAAGCTGTTAGTGGGTGGGGTTATATGACGCTTGTATATAATAACCCTGGGGATATGTGTACATTAGGCTGTCTCTCACCGGAGCGGAACTGAAGGCTGGAGGACAGTGAGCTGTTACAGACGTCTGTTGAGGCTACCACCATGGCTGAGTAGTTCTGCCCACAGTCCAGCATGACCACACAGGAAGTGCCACTGGTTGAACAGAAAGCGACATGGCCATTCCCCGCCACCAGCTTAGCATTATAGACCACAGCACCAGCTGCACTCCCCCAGGAAATGTTACCAGTGTTCGTGCTACAGTCCACAGAAGCCGACACGTTTACCGGGACACATGGAGCTGTGAAAAGAAGGCAAAAATATTTTGATATACTTTTTTTAATGACTCAGTTTCACTTTAGAGGTCATTGTACAGTTCCTTTAAAGGGCCTACATCATGTAAAACTGAATTTACCTCATATTTCCTTGTATACCTAGTACTTGGTGATTAAAGATTCTGATGTTGTGATATTTGAAAATTAAAGGGTTTGCTATGGTACGTAATCATCGCATCCATACAGTCCATACAGTCCACATATGGAGACAGCTGCAAAAGCAACCTGTTTTAATTCTTACAGTCACCTATTCAGCCTACAGCAGTTTAACCCCACCCATTCACACTGAAGTTATAAGAGGTGTTTCAGCCCAGACTGCTTTTTGAATGAGGCAACAACAAAGATGCAGCCAATCACCTCTGTTGTACTTACATATATTAGTCTTAAAGGCACTGAAAAAACAGCCTCTGTACTTGAAAGGAATAAAGATTGGAAAATGGGAAAATGAACTACAGAACTACACAATCATCTTCAGTGGACCTCAAGGAAAACAGTAAAATACAAGGAAAATGGGCCCTTTTAAAGTTTTAGACATGATACATTTTGAGCATGTATAATCACAGGTATAATCAGAGTCAGGGCGAGAATAGTTTCAGAAAAGTTTATCTGATTTCCTTATTTAGGCTAAAGATTTTAATAAATGTTTAATACAGTGGTACATTTCCAAATAATTAATTTAAGTGCGCATTCAGGAAAATTGTTAATCTATTTTAACCCATTAAATGGTCATGAGCTGCCAGCAAATCTGGGATGAAATTCCTTCCTCCTATACCTTAAGAATAACTTAGAAAAATTGTTTTCCATGTAATTATAGAATAAAAAGGCTGGGAATTTAAATGGTTAAAAAGAACAAATCCTGTCCCGAATGTACTTGCCGTTGATTGCAGATGTGCAGTAACTGTGTATGCCTCATAGGGGAAACTTAAAAATGAGTAATTAACCAACAATGCAATTAAGGTTGGTACACAAGTAAGCAGTGGAGCACCACGCACTTGAAATCCTAAGAATAATGGTATTTTGAAGATTGCCTGGAAATGGTTTGGATAGAAGGGGGGTCACCTTGTCCTCTCTCACCTGTTCTTATTGCCACGGCAACACTGGGGTCACTGGGACAACCATTCGTCAGCGTCACCACAGTAACAGAGTAGGTTTCACCACAGTGCAAGTCAGTGAAAGAGCAGCTAGTAGTGTTTGAAGCACAGGTATGCGTGTGCCCATCAGGGGCAGTTGCTGTGGCAACATAGGAATCAGCCCCTGCAGCTGGAAGCCAGGAGGCTGTGCCCAGATTTCCCTGACACTGCAGAACCACAGAGAGGTTAGTGGGAGCACAAGGACCTGCAGAGAGAGAGGAAGAAACAGAAATTCTATCCATTCAATCTGATTCAAAGTTATCTGTATATCTGTGTTACAGGTGTGTAACAGCATGTGTGTTACCGGTGTCGTATTACAGAAACATCCTGTCTTTAGTCCTAAATTAAGATCTGACAAGGTCAAGATAAGATTTTTCACAAATTCGAATAACAAAAGCAAATCTTATTTTACAACATCTTATCTCAAGTTAGGAAACCTGACAGAGGTTGATAATCGACTGTTATGTCTGTTACCAAGCAACCAGCGATACGTGCACTGAAAATCAATTAGGTAGACAGCTACTAATGTAAAAAGTCAAAACAAAACAGTTTGAAAAAGTTAACAGTATTGTGAGTGTGCCTCCTCTGCTGTTTGTCAGGGCGTTGCTGCTCCCCAGTTTCAGTTTTCATTTTCCAACGCTTAAACCGAGCTGTGCTAACGCATTTCCTCCTAATAAACATACACGCGTTCAACTCTGTCTGAAATGGTTCTATACAGAAGTCATGGAACCATCAACCATAAACTTGTTATGCTGTCTGTGAAAGTTACTTAAAAAGGATATCATTCTCTTTTCATTACACTGCTGGGGATGTCCTGAAGTTAGGACAGGATTAAGGAAATTGTGCCTACTTAGGATGCTTCTGTAATATTGTTTTCTTATCTGGAGTTAGGATACGATTATGAACTCAGGAATTGTTATTTTGTAAAAGCTTTTGTTCTAAATTCAGTCCTCACTGAAGTTGTCATGGTGACTAAAGAGGCAAGAATTCAGAGATAGGATGTCACTGTAAGGCGGTCCCTGGTTAGTAACTGCACTTTTGTTACAGGTGTGTTGTACTTGTGTTGCAGGTGTGTATGTTTCACCTGTGTTACAGATGTATATTTGTTACAAGTATGTATGTATTACAAGTGTGTTGTTCTACCTGTTTTACATTTGTGTGTTGTACCAGTGTTACAGGTGTGTAATTGCACTTGTGGTACAGGTGTGTAACTGTACCTCTGTCAGGAGTGTGCTGTGCCTGTGTTACAGGTGTGTTGTACTTGTGTTACAGGTGTGTACCTGCATGTGCCACAGGTGTGTGCTGTACCTGTGTTACAGGTGTGTAATTGCAGCTGTGTTACAAGTGTGTGTTACAGGTGCGTAACTGCATCAGTGGGTTGTACTTGTGTTACAGGTGTGTAATTGCACCTGTGATGCAGGTGTGTAATGTACCAGTGTTACAGTTGTGTAATTGCACCTGTGTGAAAGTGTATATCGTTATATATGTTAGTTTCAATAATTTCAGTGCGGCCCAAACCCAGTTATGGTTATAATGGGCTATTCTATGTTGTTATGTGATGACACAACTGCGTAAAGATAGACTGGCATGAACAAAGCAATTAAGTCAGAATCTATATTATGGAGAGAAGGTTCTACAGTGTGATTTTCCCAGTGTTCAGAGGGAAAATCAAATTAGGTGATCTAAGTACACTGGTCATATTTGCATGCATGTTATCTGTGTTACAGGTGTGTGTGGGTGTATGAGAGTGTTGCACTTAACAGATAACATAACAATGTATTTGTACCAGTGCCATAGGTGCATATGTATGCCTGTGTTGAAGGTGTATGATTTTGTCAATGTTACAGATGTAGGGTGATTTGGGGTAAGAAGCCCCCCAGGGTAAAATGTCCCTTTACTTTCTCTCCAGACCAAACAATGGAGCAAAATTTGATCTAGACACTTTTATGAATGGTTGTTGTCAAAGTAATTTCGTTCGTCATTTCTGGGATTTTTTGCGCCTAGGTTTTTACCATTAAGTGGAATCACTGAGAATCTACAAATATTTTCACTTTTTTTATTTTAAAATAGTATATTTTTGTGTTGTATTTTGATTTATAACAAAAAGTTTGAAAAATGAAAAGACTAGACATTTGACACGATTCATTCTATAAAAACTCAGACTGACAAATCGATGCAATGTTCACTGGTGGGGTTTTTATCTTACTACCAATATTGCCCCCATAGTGGGCCTGAATGCCTTATGTAGCATCATGTATCATGTACATTCTAAACTTAAGCACAGATATGGATTTGCTCTGATGTAAATGGACATTGTTCTTAAGGAAGGCATTTTTCCCAATTTTACCTTACATTTCAACCCGTGTTACAAGCCAAACTTGGTACCTTTGTTATAATTGTTAATCCATTCCTGTTTTAGAGGTGTTTATTTGTGCCTGTGATACAGGTGTGCATGTTGTACCTGTGCTGAAGCTAAATGCTGCGCTGCGGACTCCTCCACAGTTCTTTGTGTAAGGCGTCACAGTGATGTTATAAATTTGCCCACAGTGCATCTGGCTGAGCTGGCAGGTGCTGGTGGTGGAGTTACACTGTTTAACATCTCCATCCCTCCCCAGTGCCGTCACACTGTACAGACTCACACCTGCTGTGGGTGCCCACACCACCACTGCACTGCTGTTAGCACACTGCCACGAGGCACTCACATTCTGTGTGGCACAGGGCACTGCCGAGAAGAGCACAGGCATTTAAACATACTTGAAAACAGATTTAGTTTTTTATGTAAAAAAAAACATAACATTGTATTTATTATACACTAGAATATGCAATGTCAAAATGCTTTAATGTCTAATTTTTTAAGAGATTTTAATGACTAACTTAAGTCTTAGAAGTAACAGTCCTGCCTCTCTTGATAAAATCAAAGTTATCTCCTGCTACAGCAATGCAGTCAATGTGGTTTCACCATTGAGTACATTTGGTCAGGAGTATCATTCACGGCAAAGCACACAACTGAGGCTGGCAATATCAATAACTTGGCAGGCAACGTTGGACAGAACTCAGGGGAGAACTATGGATAAATCAACAAGCAGCAAACTAACATAAGCAATAGTAAAGTGGAAAGCTCCAGTTTCCAAAGCATAATAACACCTGTGTAAATGACAACATGAATGGAACAGGATTGATCTTACTGGATGGCAAGAATACCTGTCTGGATTCCAGTTGGTTGGCTGTAGCTGCTGTTGCAGTTACTGGAAACTGCTTTCACAGTGACGTTGTAGCCACGACCGCAGCTTAAGCCGGTAATAGAGCAGTTTGTCCCTGTGGTGCTGCAAGAGTCACTGTACCCGTCCCCTTCCAGAAGGGCAACAAATAAGATGCTTCCATTGTTGTTATTCCAGCCAATGAGAGCAGTGTTGTTTTTGCAGTCATAATAGGCATTCACCATGGAAGGAGAGCACGGAGCTGGAGAAAACAACAAATATTTATTGATATTAGTTACATATCATCATCAGCCTACCTTGTACTTCCACTCTTCCGCTTTACCTATATTACTGATACAATTATAGACTGCAGCTCATTTGTTGTCATGTGGAAAGAAGGTGTTTCTATTGCAGTGGCCATTGAATGTATGTTCATACATATTGCTGCTGTTGGAATAAAACCTCGTATCTCCAGGTTTGTTGTTTTTCAGTTTTTGACATAATTTGAAAGTACCTGTTACTCTTTACATTGTATGTAAATTTTATGATGAACAGACCAAAAGAAACAGCCCAAAATTACTTGGAAAAAAGTCTGGTTCCACTGACTTACACTGACATTAAAGTATGTTTTGCCTTTTCCTGTAAAGTTACCATTTTGGAGATATGAGGTTTTGTTCCGACAGCAGCAATGTTGGGTTAAGTCTCAGTTATACAGCCACAAAAAGTAATGTACGCATATTAGGGTAGCTGTAGCGGGAGAATATCTATACATACAGATACAGCTGGTTATAGTCGGAATACAACTAGATATAGAGTCAGGATATGACTACTAATGAGCAAGGAACAACTGGTTACTGTTAAGAGGTGGTGTAAGAGCAGGTGATGTACAGACCGTGACTGGTTAAGGTTAGCAGAAGATATCATGTGCAGGGTATAGCTGGTCAAAGTTAAGAGCAAGTGCAGCAACACAATGGAATGGATCAACCAGTCTACTTGTCATGTATTAAACGTGTGTAATAGTGTCCTCCTATGGACAGACCTGTAATGACAGTGACACTGGTGCTTGGTGAGCTATCACACTGCTCCCCTCGTGCAGTTGCATAAACACTGTATTTCTGGCCGCACTGTAGTCCAGTCAGACTACAGCTGAAGTTTGTGGAAACACATGATGACTCGTGTCCATTTGTAGAGGTGGCGTTGACAATGTAAAGGATGGCACTGCTGACAGGAGTCCATGACAACAGGGCTGCATTTGTTGCACAATCCAGGGATGTACTGAGGATGGTGGGGAGGCATGGGGCTACGGGAAAGACATCAAAGGACTCCATAAGCAAAATTTGTTGTGTAAAAATTATTTACTGAATTTACTCAAAACAAATCAACTCCCACTGCAATATTCTAATTAACATAACTTTAGTCACTAGTCACTACAAGTCAAGAATAAAAATACTACCTCATTACAAATAAAATGTTATGATTTTACACAATGAATAACAACTACATAAGTGTGCAAAAGTCAGAGACTACTATTTCATTTATTTACTTTCCAGTCACAACTACCAACTTACTAATGTTATTCATTTTTCAGTATCATTAAAAAGCAGAAAACTACTGTACATTTACAGGCCTCAAGAAATAACGATACTAAATATGTACAATTTTCATTATTTAATGTGTCCACCTTTTGCCTTTATTAGAGCTTCCATTCTTTTCAGGGTGCTCGCTTTCAGGTTCTCAGGTCTTCAAAGAAATCTGCCGGCATATTTTTCTCCCAAGATACTTCCAAAGATCTCAAATTTAGACTCATCAGGAAAGAGTGGACAAATAAACTACTGATATATTTTATATTATACCTAGTGTTGAAGGCATTTGAGTCACTTTCTGTTAAATATGTTTGCTGCTTTTTTCTGATACTGATAAATGAATAACAACAGCCCCTTTGACTAAAATTTAAAAATCAAAAGGGTGTTTTTTTAACCACTTATGCCTCTAATTGTCCATCTGTAGTTGATGGCTGGGGAGAATGTTTAAATTATGGTACAACTAAAATGACTGATTTCAGCAGTACTATGTCTCACATTCTTAGAATATAGTTAGGTGTTTCAAATGGCCACAAAGAGCTAAAGATAAATCAGTTTTAATTAAATTTGAAGTTTTCTGGCAAACTCAGATTTTTTTCCACCTTTAGCTTTGTACTTAGGTTGGTATTTCACATGTAAAAGGTGCAGTGGAGTGTAGTACCTGTGACTACCACAGCACGAGGCTGGAAGGTGCTGTTGCAGGTTGCATCCCCTGCCAGTACTGTGATATTGAACGTCTTCCCACATGTCAAAGAGGCTAGCTGACAGGAAGTGCTGCTGGTGGAGCAGGAAGCAGCAAGCGTTTGCCCACCATCTGTTTGTGCCAACACTGTGTATCTGTTTGCACCTGTGCTGGCACTCCACATCACTGTGGCAACGCTGCTGCTGCACTGGAGTATGGCTGTAACATTCTGAGGGTCACAGGGACCTGTGTGAAAGACACTGTGTGCTTAATTATATAATAATAGATGAAGAACCTAAGTTACATCACAAGAATAATGTTAATGAAGCCACAGCTGAAATCCAGGTGTGTGATGTGTAGGAGTGTTGTACCTGTAGTTCAGGTGTGTAATGTGTAGGAGTGTTGTACCTGTAGTTCAGGTGTGTAATGTGTAGGAGTGTGTACTGTAGTTCAGGTGGTATGTGTGGAGTGTTGTACCTGTAGTTCAGGTGTGTAGTGAGGGTGTACTGTAGTTAGGTGTGTAAGTGTAGGGTGTTGTACCTGTAGTTCAGGTGTGTAATGTAGAGTAGTGTAGGAGTGTTGTACCTGTAGTTCAGGTGTGTAATGTGTAGGAGTGTTGTACCTGTAGTTCAGGTGTGTAATGTGTAGGAGTGTTGTACCTGTAGTTCAGGTGTGTAATGTGTAGGAGTGTTGTACCTGTAGTTCAGGTGTGTAATGTGTAGGAGTGTTGTACCTGTAGTTCAGGTGTGTGATGTGTAGGAGTGTTGTACCTGTAGTTCAGGTGTGTAATGTGTAGGAGTGTGTACCTGTAGTTCAGGTGTGTAATGTGTAGGAGTGTGTTACCTGTAGTTCAGGTGTGTAATGTGTAGGAGTGTTGTACTTGTAGTTCAGGTGTGTAATGTGTAGGAGTGTTGTATCTGTAGTTCTGGTGTGTGATGTGTAGGAGTGTTGTACCTGTAGTTCAGGTGTGTAATGTGTAGGAGTGTTGTACTTGTAGTTCAGGTGTGTAATGTGTAGGAGTGTTGTATCTGTAGTTCAGGTGTGTAATGTGTAGGAGTGTTGTATCTGTAGTTCAGGTGTGTGAATGTGTAGGAGTGTTGTATCTGTAGTTCAGGTGTGTAATGTGTAGGAGTGTTGTATCTGTAGTTCTGGTGTGTAATGTGTAGGAGTGTTGTATCTGTAGTTCAGGTGTGTAATGTGTAGGAGTGTTGTATCTGTAGTTCAGTGTGTAGTGTAGGAGTGTGTATCTGAGTTCAGGTGTGTGATGTCTAGGAGTGTTGTATCTGTAGTTCAGGTGTGTGATGTGTAGGAGTGTTGTATCTGTAGGTCAGGTGTGTGATGTGTAGGAGTGTTGTGCCTGTAGTTCAGGTGTGTGAAGTGTAGGAGTGTTATATCTGTAGTTCAGGTGTGTAATGTGTAGGAGTGTTGTATCTGTAGTTCAGGTGTGATGTGTAGGAGTGTTGTATCTGTAGTTCAGGTGTGAAGTGTAGGAGTGTTGTACCTGTAGTTCAGGTGTGTGAAGTGTAGGAGTGTTGTATCTGTAGTTCAGGTGTGTAAAGTGTAGGAGTGTTGTATCTGTAGTTCAGGTGTGTGATGTGTAGGAGTGTTGTACCTGTAGTTCAGGTGTGTGATGTGTAGGAGTGTTGTACCTGTAGTTCAGGTGTGTGAAGTGTAGGAGTGTTGTACTTGTAGTTCAGGTGTGATGTGTAGGAGTGTTGTACTTGTAGTTCAGGTGTGATGTGTAGGAGTGTTGTATCTGTAGTTTAGGTGTGTGGATCTGTAGTTCAGGTGTGTGATGTGTAGGAGTGTTGTACCTGTAGTTCAGGTGTGATGTGTAGGAGTGTTGTACCTGTAGTTCAGGTGTGTAATGTGTAGGAGTGTTGTACTTGTAGTTCAGGTGTGTGGATCTGTAGTTCAGGTGTGTGATGTGTAGGAGTGTTGTATCTGTAGTTCAGGTGTGTAATGTGTAGGAGTGTTGTACTTGTAGTTCAGGTGTGTGGATCTGTAGTTCAGGTGTGATGTGTAGGAGTGTTGTACCTGTAGTTCAGGTGTGTGATGTGTAGGAGTGTTGTATCTGTAGTTCAGGTGTGTGATGTGTAGGAGTGTTGTACCTGTAGTTCAGGTGTGTGATGTGTAGGAGTGTTGTATCTGTAGTTCAGGTGTGTGGATCTGTAGTTCAGGTGTGTGATGTGTAGGAGTGTTGTATCTGTAGTTCAGGTGTGTGATGTGTAGGAGTGTTGTAGTCGTGTGAGTGTAGGTGGTGTACAGTGTAGGAGGAGTGTTGTATCTGTAGTTCAGGGTGTGATGTGTAGGAGTGTTGTATCTGTAGTCAGTGGTAATGGTGGAGTGTTGTACTGTAGTCAGGTGTGTAATGTGTAGGAGTGTGTACCTGTAGGTCAGGTGTAAGTGTAGAGGTTGACTGTAGTCAGGTGTAATGGTAGGAGTGTTGTACCTGTAGTTCAGGTGTGTAATGTGTAGGAGTGTTGTATCTGTAGTTCTGGTGTGTGATGTGTAGGAGTGTTGTACCTGTAGTTCAGGTGTGTGATGTGTAGGAGTGTTGTACCAGTAGTTCAGGTGTGTGAAGTGTAGGAGTGTTGTATCTGTAGTTCAGGTGTGTGATGTGTAGGAGTGTTGTACCTGTAGTTCAGGTGTGTGAAGTGTAGGAGTGTTGTATCTGTAGTTCAGGTGTGTGATGTGTAGGAGTGTTGTACCTGTAGTTCAGGTGTGTAATGTGTAGGAGTGTTGTACCAGTAGTTCAGGTGTGTAATGTGTAGGAGTGTTGTACTTGTAGTTCAGGTGTGTAATGTGTAGGAGTGTTGTATCTGTAGTTCTGGTGTGTGATGTGTAGGAGTGTTGTATCTGTAGTTCAGGTGTGTAATGTGTAGGAGTGTTGTACCTGTAGTTCAGGTGTGTGAAGTGTAGGAGTGTTGTATCTGTAGTTCAGGTGTGTAATGTGTAGGAGTGTTGTATCTGTAGTTCTGGTGTGTAATGTGTAGGAGTGTTGTACCTGTAGTTCAGGTGTGTGATGTGTAGGAGTGTTGTATCTGTAGTTCAGGTGTGTAATGTGTAGGAGTGTTGTACCTGTAGTTCAGGTGTGTGATGTGTAGGAGTGTTGTACCTGTAGTTCAGGTGTGTAATGTGTAGGAGTGTTGTACTTGTAGTTCAGGTGTGTAATGTGTAGGAGTGTTGTATCTGTAGTTCTGGTGTGTAATGTGTAGGAGTGTTGTATCTGTAGTTCAGGTGTGTAATGTGTAGGAGTGTTGTACCTGTAGTTCAGGTGTGATGTGTAGGAGTGTTGTATCTGTAGTTCAGGTGTGTAATGTGTAGGAGTGTTGTATCTGTAGTTCAGGTGTGTGATGTCTAGGAGTGTTGTATCTGTAGTTCAGGTGTGTGATGTGTAGGAGTGTTGTGCCTGTAGTTCAGGTGTGATGTGTAGGAGTGTTGTGCCTGTAGTTCAGGTGTGTGAAGTGTAGGAGTGTTATATCTGTAGTTCAGGTGTGTAATGTGTAGGAGTGTTGTATCTGTAGTTCAGGTGTGATGTGTAGGAGTGTTGTATCTGTAGTTCAGGTGTGAAGTGTAGGAGTGTTGTACCTGTAGTTCAGGTGTGTGAAGTGTAGGAGTGTTGTATCTGTAGTTCAGGTGTGTAAAGTGTAGGAGTGTTGTATCTGTAGTTCAGGTGTGTGATGTGTAGGAGTGTTGTACCTGTAGTTCAGGTGTATGATGTGTAGGAGTGTTGTACCTGTAGTTCAGGTGTGTGAAGTGTAGGAGTGTTGTATCTGTAGTTCAGGTGTGTGATGTGTAGGAGTGTTGTATCTGTAGTTCAGGTGTGATGTGTAGGAGTGTTGTACCTGTAGTTCAGGTGTGTGAAGTGTAGGAGTGTTGTACTTGTAGTTCAGGTGTGATGTGTAGGAGTGTTGTACTTGTAGTTCAGGTGTGATGTGTAGGAGTGTTGTATCTGTAGTTTAGGTGTGTGGATCTGTAGTTCAGGTGTGTGATGTGTAGGAGTGTTGTACCTGTAGTTCAGGTGTGATGTGTAGGAGTGTTGTATCTGTAGTTCAGGTGTGTAATGTGTAGGAGTGTTGTATCTGTAGTTCAGGTGTGTAATGTGTAGGAGTGTTGTACCTGTAGTTCAGGTGTGTGATGTGTAGGAGTGTTGTACTGTAGTTCAGGGTGTAATGTGTAGGAGTGTTGTACCTGTAGTTCAGGTGTGTGATGTGTAGGAGTGTTGTACCTGTAGTTCAGGTGTGTAATGTGTAGGAGTGTTGTATCTGTAGTTCAGGTGTGTAATGTGTAGGAGTGTTGTACCTGTTGTTCAGGTGTGTAATGTGTAGGAGTGTTGTGCCTGTAGTTCAGGTGTGTAATGTGTAGGAGTGTTGTATCTGTAGTTCAGGTGTGTAATGTGTAGGAGTGTTGTACTTGTAGTTCAGGTGTGTGATGTGTAGGAGTGTTGTGCCTGTAGTTCAGGTGTGTGATGTGTAGGAGTGTTGTACTTGTAGTTCAGGTGTGTAATGTGTAGGAGTGTTGTATCTGTAGTTCAGGTGTGTGATGTGTAGGAGTGTTGTATCTGTAGTTCAGGTGTGTGATGTGTAGGAGTGTTGTATCTGTAGTTCAGGTGTGTGATGTGTAGGAGTGTTGTGCCTGTAGTTCAGGTGTGTAATGTGTAGGAGTGTTGTATCTGTAGTTCAGGTGTGTGATGTGTAGGAGTGTTGTGCCTGTAGTTCAGGTGTGTGATGTGTAGGAGTGTTGTATCTGTAGTTCAGGTGTGTGATGTGTAGGAGTGTTGTGCCTGTAGTTCAGGTGTGTGATGTGTAGGAGTGTTGTATCTGTAGTTCAGGTGTGTGATGTGTAGGAGTGTTGTGCCTGTAGTTCAGGTGTGTGATGTGTAGGAGTGTTGTATCTGTAGTTCAGGTGTGTGATGTGTAGGAGTGTTGTACCTGTAGTTCAGGTGTGTGATGTGTAGGAGTGTTGTACCTGTAGTTCAGGTGTGTGATGTGTAGGAGTGTTGTATCTGTAATTCAGGTGTGTGATGTGTAGGAGTGTTGTACCTGTAGTTCAGGTGTGTGATGTGTAGGAGTGTTGTATCTGTAGTTCAGGTGTGTAATGTGTAGGAGTGTTGTACCTGTAGTTCAGGTGTGTGATGTGTAGGAGTGTTGTATCTGTAGTTCAGGTGTGTGATGTGTAGGAGTGTTGTATCTGTAGAGAGTTTAAGTGCAGTACCTGTACTGAGGCTGATGACTGGGCTGTTGGTACTGTTGCAGATCCTGTTTTGTGACGCTACACTGAGACTGTACTGACTGGCACACTGCAGTCCGCTGAACACACATGACAGGTTGCCTGTCACACACATCTGAGGGAACTTTCCAGAAGCAGATAACATGGCGATGTAACCGTTGGCCCCAGGGGCAGCATCCCAAGATGCTACCAGGGACCCGGATCCGCATGTGACATGGCCAGTCACATTCTGAGGGATGCAGGGGGCTAAGGGAAGAGAGGTGATGACTGGTCAGATATGGTTCAGTTATCCTATGGGGTGGTGCTAGGATGAGAGTAGCAAATCTACTGTCAAATGTACCACTACTTGTCTAGTTAATATGCAGGATAGTCAATGTTATGTGGACTGAAACACATTACAATAACACTAATAAGTACAATGAAACATTCTACAATAAAACTGATAGCAGGTAATATTACCTGTCTGTATAGTTTGCACAGGGCTTGCTGGTCCGCTACAGTTGCCATTGGATGCAGCTACTGTGATGTTGTATTGTTGGCCACATTGAAGGCCTTGTATGCTGCAGCTGGTGTTTTGCGAGCTGCAGGACAGCGCAGTGCCTCCATTCCATACTGCGATGGCCATATAGTTCTGAGGCACTGCAGTAGGGCTCCAGGTCACAGTCACAGAGTTAGTATCACACGCAAGAACAGTGGACACATTTTGAGGAGCACATGGAGCTAAAAGAAAACAAAACATATATATTATATTACTAAAAGTCTTTTTTTATTTATGTCTGTTTATATTTATCTACTATTAAACATAAACATTGTGATGGTGGAAATTTGACTCAGTTCTGACCTCTAGTGGTTCAACTCCACTAGTGCAAAACACCAGCAGTTCAGTTTCTCATTTACATATCTTTTGAGAACAGCTTTTGAATAGCACACAAATACATTTTAACCAAACAGTTCACCCAAAAATACAAACCTTAAAAATGAACGAAAGCTAGCAAGATTACCTGACTACTAACCACATTATCACTGTTTGGTTGAAGTTTACCATTGAGGAAGTCACTCTTAAACAAACCGTGCAGATACAAACCTGTATCCAGCTGTATGGGAGCAGTCCGAGTACTAGCACAGCTCCCATCTGTGGCAGACACGCTAAAGTTGTAGCGCTGACCGCAGAGTAAGCCAGATATTTGGCAACCCGCGGTGCTGACATTACAGGTCCGCACATCCCCATAACTCTCCAGCCTCCCAATGTAGCCCAGCGCATTAGGGCTGGGAGTCCACAATAGAGAGGCAGTTGAAGAAGAACAGTTCACCAGGCCTGAAACACTAGTGGGGGCACAGGGGTCTGCAAGAGGAGAGAAGAAAGAGAGGAAAATAGATCCTCATTCTGTACACTGAAGCAAGTTCTGCATTTCATTCACTTGATTTAAATGAAAAATTTAAAAATGAAAAAAAAAAATAGGGCCATCATAATAATAACACCCACATTGGTGTTACACTAACTATATTATAAGGGTTTCTCTTTTCATGTACACCTGATTAAGTTTATCAGATAACTGAGTAAAATCAGATGTGCAAAAAATGTTACTATGCTCAGTACATTAAATAGCAATAATGAACATATCGTATCAATGACATAAGAGACAATTTAGTACCATTAGGATGCAGTTTTCCATGGGGAGGTGGAGCAATGCAATTTTACCACAGGCATCTGTAATGCCTATGATCACTTTGCATGGGATAAGAAATATGGGTATAAGTTACAGAGACAGGAGTAGCTATTGATTTATGCACTGCCTTTACTCCAAAATAAAGTAGAAAACACCTGAAACATTTAATTTCGCTGTTACTTTATTAACCCTAACCTTGATGTCTTAAATGCTGTTACAGTGTGTCATTACCATTGTCATTAGCATGGGAGTTTAAAGACAACAGTCAACATCACTGCATAAAATCAAATCTTTTCTGCCATATAACATGTCTGCACATGTTTAGAGCCATACAATTATGGTAGGACAATACATATCAGCTTGACTTGAGCCACAGAGAGCAAGTAAGAGCTTCTTCAACTACCTCCATATTTCAAGCTGCACTATGTAAAATCTGGGGATTTGGACCTCTCTGGTAGACATATGTAATTGCATGCAATATGCGGAAGAACATTTTGTAATGTTGGTTGTGCCCCTTCTTCGAGCAGATGAATCTGATGATTGTAGGCACAAATTCAAGTCAGAACTTGTTGAACATTGAACAGATAAGGGCATTTTCTACTCCTGTCATTTAATATTCATCTGTATAATGTTAACACATTTGCATTTGAGACCTAAACATCAAGCCAGACTTTCTTTTGGAGCCTGAGTATGATTTTAATACATAAAGATGCATGACAACTTCCGCAAAATTCTTTCTTCAGGCGTTACCAGGCAACTTGCAGCAGCGCACACACACCGTAGCATGTTTTTTCCTGACTCAGTAATGCTACTTATTTCAATTAAAAAAAATCTTTCATAGAGCAGCTTTAAAAAAACACAGAACACGACTGCGTTTTTATTGACATGTCAACTTGCACAGGATTAATATAACCTGTGCTTAAGGTTAAAGGTGCCAGAATCTTTTCTGATGCAGGAGCATGAAGTCTGTAAATTTGGTTGACACGGTGGATTTGGATGGGACTAAAATCACTGCAAACGCCAGTAAGACTGATATTACCCTACTCCCCAAGTAAAACCAATCCTGCACACTTAAGATACTGTTTTTAGCTGAATAACAGTCAGGTACATGTATAAGTGGTGGTATCTGTGAGCATGTGTGTGTGTACTTATACACACCTGTGTACAGAGAGACTGTCTGGCTCAGTCGGCTGCTACAGTTGTCATTCGCTGCTATGACACCCATGCTGTACACCTGACTGCAGGTGAGGTTAGTGATGCTACAGCTAGTCCCGTTGCTGACGCACTGTGACGTCTGACCATGGGTATCTATGGCGATGGCTATATATGTGTGAGCTCCAGTGCTGGGGGCCCAGGTGATGTCCACAGAAGTAGCGCCACAAACTCGAGACACGGAGACATTGGTGGGCACACACGGCACTTAGGAGAAAAAAACACACTTTGACTACATGTTTAAAACCATGTATCTCAGCAGTGTGTTTTTGCTTGTAAAACCCCACAGAACATTAAATACACAAATAAACATAAATACAGCAAAAGGTAACAAGACTTTCTTATTTTCAAAAAAGTAGTGATATCTTTTGAGCAGGTTAGAAGAACACAGGGGTGGTTCCAGATTTCTCCTCAAAGACCCCAGCCATCATTTGGATTAGTTAAATTACATCAGTTTTCCTCACTTAACTTAATAAAGGGCTGATTAAAATAGGTATTAGATGATAACTACAAATAATACAGGCTGCCACAAAGAGGTTTGTAACTGGTTAAGCTACAATATTCCTAAAATCATTACTTACTGAAATGTTATTTATATTTATCCTAATATTAACACTTACTGCCCAGTTATATAGCTTTTTTTAAATATACTTTTCTCAAGCACCGGAAACTTTTGGACAGTACTTTATATCATGGAAACATTTACAATTACTGTTCTCAATAAAAATAAAATAATGTATAAAATGATTCCGATATGATTGTAGCTTTTCAAAAAACTCTAGGAAGTAATTTTAGATGTGTCCAAATTGATCAACAAACCTGAAGATGATAACTGTTAAACTGTATGACATCCAGAATGAAGTTACCATAAAACTAATATGTAAAATGCTTTGAAAATTTGAAAAGAAGTGATCAAATTTTAAGGCAAAAAAACTATATATATTTTAAAAAACTATGTGCGTGTTTCTACATATTTACCTTGTCAGGGTTTTTATTTCGTGTGTGTCCTCACCTTGTTCTACTGTAATCTGCTGACTAGGAGCAGACTGGCAGGTCCCGTGTGCAGCCAGGACCATCACATTGTAGGCCTTGCCACAGTCCAGCTGTTCCACACTGCAGTGGGGTTCAGTTGAGTTACAGTAGACTGGACCTCCTGTTCCTGACCACACCACTGTCGTATAGTTCACACCTACTGCTGAACTGTTCCATCCTACCGTCATTGCACCTGACGAACAGTTCACTACACCCACCACCTGCTGCGGGAGCACAGGGGACTACAGCACATGGAAACAGAGAGCAATCAGAACACAAGCAACAGGACAGAAACAGAGCCATCATGTTCGGAAGACAGAATATAAAAACATCACAATCAGAAAAAGGCTGTGACCAAAACAGATCCATACTCCTTCATTAGTGTAGTGCTATATATGGGAGAACTACTTACTTCACTAAATAATGTTAAAAATGCATGAATCAATAAATGAATTCAAATACTTTCTCATTATCAGCCTGCATCAGTATTCATCAGTCACACAAACAAACCAACGTGACCTGCTTGCAAGGTTTAAGTTGGTATCTTATTCATAGCTAGTGATGTAAGTGCAACGTTTGGAAAAGTGCTGGTGGGAAGGAAAACATAAAAAATGTTGGTCAGTGGACGTGTGTATGCTGTTACCTGACTCCATTTGAATGGCTGTGGAGGGCAGGCTGTTGCAGCGTGTGTCATTTTGCATTACAGTGATGTTGTAGGTGTGTCCGCAGCGCAGGTTGGGGATGCTGCAGTTATTGCTGCTGGTGCTGCAGTTCAGCATGCCTCCTTCATTATCCACTAACAGAGCAGTGTAAGAGCCCCCAGCCTGCTGGCCCTGCCACTGCACTGCAGCTGTGTTCAACTGACAGTCCTTCACTGCCTGCACATTCACAGGGGCACAGGGGGCTACACGAGGAAGTAAGGTGAGATGAGAGCAAAAATTAGGGAAAGAGAGAGGAGGGAAAAAAAGAAAAGTTGAGGCAAGGAAGAATGAGGATTGGAGTTTAAGATTTCAGCTACTTCACAAAGCAGGATTTCTCACTAAGCTGAATATCTGAGCCCTTTTATTATTCAGTAACTGCAATTCATTATCTGTTAACTACTTTGAAACAATATGTAAGTTAAAGTAAGTTAAGTATATATGAAAGTGATGAACTGAAGTGTGGGGGCCCTTTAGGGTTTAAGGGGTTAATCCCAAAGTGAGGATTATCCAAGAGAATCGTTCCTTACCTCTTCTCCTATCACATATACTTAATTTAGGCTTAAGGTATCTGACTAACTATAAAATCCTCCTTTGTGAAAAACCGCCCTGATCATCAAAATGGAACCCCACCAGTCTTTACGGCGATGTGCTGGCTGTCGGTGCTGTTGCAGATGAAGTTGGTTGACATGACAAAGGCCTCGTAGGTTTGTCCGCACTGCAGACCCATGATCTCACACTGAGTGTTCATGGTGTTGCAGAAGCGGATCGTGCCATCTGGAAGGACAGCTTTGGCTGTGTAGAAAATGGCATTATTGCTGGTAAGCCAGTTGAGAGTGATGGAGAAGGAGCCACAGGTATCCACCAAGAAAATGTCCTGAGGAGCACAGGGAACTGGAGAGAGAGAAAGAGGGAGAGGGTTGAGAGAGTGGGTTAAAACAGTTCTGTGAAAAATACAGTAGGTGATCAGCCAAGACATGGTTGGTGTCTGAAATTTGCTTATTTAGTTTTGCATCGAGTTTCAAAGCTAATGTAGCTCACAAGTTCCCCATCAAATAAGCACTGTACATCACTGCACGCTTACCTCAAACTTCGTTAGACTGTTAAGTAATATTAACCTCTGGGGTCTGAGGACATTTTCTTAATTTTTCGTTTCAACATGATTCAACATGCTACCCATATGTTTCACATCAAAATGTTCAGAACAATCTTAGCTCTTTCTATAATGAGCGACTTCCGCAGCTGTAAACTTTTTGCATGCCATTTCACGTGTCTCCAATGTCGACTGAATGACGGATGAAGGGTTTCTGGACCCCAGAGGGTTAAACAGACTTGCTTACAAGGTTTCTGACAGACTGTTTTCTATAAAAATGGACCAAAGTACATCATATAGCTAAAAACAACAGTAGTAACAGCCTTTAGCAAAAAAATCAGGATAATCAATTATATGCCACCCCAGCCCAGCGCAAAAGCACGGTCCTCACAGCACACGACATGTTGCACAAAAGGTGCATTTTGAATGGTTAATGTGAAAATAATGCGGTGTTGGGATAACATTTCTGTTGTATTTGCGTGAATTTGTGAAGGACTTACAAATTCATAGAGTACATTACAGATACCAGATACCAACATACAGTACATTACAGATACCAGATACCAACATACAGTACATTACGGTTACCAGATACCAACATACAGTACATTATGGATACCAATAAGCTATACACACTCACTCACTCACTCTCTTTCTCCTTTTCTCTCCCTCTCTCACCTGTCTCAGCCACATCCGCCAGTATGAAATCAGTCATGCACTCATTGTTGGAAGCGGTGATCCACACACTCAGGCTCTGGCCACACTTCACACCGGTCATCGTACAGTTAGTTCCTTGGGACGTGCAGTTGTAGAAGTCGTCACGGTTACCACGTGCCTGCACTGTGTAGCTGAGGGCTCCCCGGGCTGGGTTCCACGTGGTTATCAATGTGTCTGACAGACAATCCGTTGCCGAGGTGCGAACGTTCTGGGGTAAACAGGGTGCTGAGGAAGGGTGGATACTCAAATTCACTTAAAGGCAAGACATATCTTAATAGGATAAATATAAATAATAGTATGCTGTTAGCCTGCTCAGACACTCAATTTCATAAATGAGGTTTATTTTCCCAGGAGACTTAAATGGACAATAACGGGGCACTGGACATCCTGAGGATGCCCAGTTAAACCGATAGCTTGGCAGTAGGGTAGCACAGCATGGCATAACCTGAGATAAGACACTGGCTTTCAATGTATGGGTGCCATGGTACAATTACAACTGTCATGGATGACACAGGTATACACATTTAGAAATTATAAAGCTTAAGCCCCACTAGTTTCCATTACGTGCTATCTGGGAAGGTGCCATTGGAACACTTTTAAAAATTACTTTGAAAATTACACATCCTTTGATGACACTGAGTACTAATGGGTGGAAGGTAACCTAGTCTCTCATCTTTGCTAAACGTTACAAGTTACCCAGTTTCTTACCTGTGCTAAAAGTTAATGGTTACTTGGTCTCTTACACATGATTACTGATAGCCACTACCTGGTTTCTTACCTGTGCTAATCAATATCAGTTACCTGGTCTCTTACCTGTGCTAGGTCACTTAACTGTGCTAATTCATATCAGTTACGTGGTCTCTTACCTGTGCTAATCGATATCAGTTACCTGGTCTCTTACCTGTGCTAATTCATAACAGTTACCTGGTCTCTTACCCATGCTAATCGATATCAGTTACCTGGTTTCTTACCTGTGCTAATCAATATCAGTTACCTGGTCTCTTACCTGTGCTAGCTCACTTAACTGTGCTAATCGATATCAGTTACCTGGTCTCTTACCTGTGCTAGGTCACTTAACTGTGCTAATTCATATCAGTTACCTGGTCTCTTGCCCGTGCTAATCGATATCAGTTACCTGGTTTCTTACCTGTGCTAATCAATATCAGTTACCTGGTCTCTTACCTGTGCTAGCTCACTTACCTGTGTTAATTCATATCAGTTACGTGGTCTCTTACCTGTGCTAATCGATATTAGTTACCTGGTCTCTTACCTGTGCTAGCTCACTTAACTTTGCTAATTCATATCAGTTACGTGGTCTCTTACCTGTGTTAATCGATATCTGTCACCTGGTTTTTGCTTGTAGTAATAGTGTTTAGTCACTTGGTCAGTAACATGTGCTAATAGTCAGTTGTTACATATTCTGTTAACTGTGTTAACAATTAACAGTTACTTAACAGGTCTCTTGCTTGTGCTAATAGTTAGCGGTTACCTGGTTTCTTGCTTGTGCTGATCTTACCTGTGCTAACAATCCGCTGCTGCCTGATCAGTTAACTGTGCTAACAGTTAACATATCAGGTAACAGTTACCTCGTCTTTTATGTGTGCTAATGATTAGCGTTTACCTGGACTCTTACCTGTGCTAACTGTTACTGGCAAGGTGGACCCAGTGTTGCAGCCCTCAGCACCAGAGTACACAGAGCTGACGGTGAAGCTGTATGTGAGACCACAGTCCGTCTGAGTGAAGTAGCAGGAAGTATATATGGTAACGCACTCGTTCACCACCCCATCCGAGTCCACAGACTGGGCGACGTAATATGCTGTGTTGTTGGTAGGAGCCCATGAGAATATGATCACGTTGCTGAAACACTCACGGAAAATCTTCGGGTTCTGGGGTGGGCAGGGTGCTATGTGGGTGCAGGAAAGAGACAGAGAAGGGAGGTGAGAGATGATATTTTAGCTTCTACACAGAGGCTCTATTGACTACTGAGACTCATCTACAGCTCATCCTCTTCTGGACAATGAGGTCTGGGTGTGTTCTCTCTAGGAATGGAACAGCTCATCCTACACCATGGGATGATCTTCTACCATTAGCCCTGAGGACTGGATCAGTGCTGCCTTCTCAGTAGACATGACCCAACGGTCATTAGGCTCCAGTAACCAGCAAACAATGTTCATGACAAAACATGTCCACTTTTGAATGGTCAAAAGTAGATGATTTCAAAGGTGTTTTCCTTGTTTGTTTGATTTAAAGTAGAGAACACTGAGAGACAGAGAAAGTGAGAGAGACTGAGAGCGAGTGAGAAAGTGAAGAAGAGAGAGAGAGAGAAATGAACAGGTTGTAAAGGATAAGGCTTTGAAGTAGAGGTGTAAAAAGGCACTCATGCATTACAGTGCATCAGTCTGAAGGCGGCAATTAAGTGCATTGACTTTGGAAAGTAATTATGACCCAGAATCATAATATTCAAAAAAGTAATCACTCAAATTGTGATACTGAAAAATGCTGTTTTGAATTTTCCTGAAATATGGCACTCAAAAATGAATATCCTTAGAACCTAAAACCTGTTTTGCTTTGTATTCTTTCATGTTTATAGTCAATATTGCACTACTATTTAAGTAAGTCCTCCAGCTTTCATAATGCACTGAATAATTTCCTGAAGAACTGTATCTAAATCGAATCTTTGCCAGACATTAAACTCTGGAAAGTGGAGGAGCTGAAAGTCATGCATTGTATTCACCTGTCTCAAAAGTGTAGCTGATGTTGGAGGTGCTCTCGCAGTCGGCGATGCTAGTGATTCGTACAGTGTAGTGTTCACCACATCCAAGTGTGGTAATCTGGCAGGACGTGCCAATGGAGGTGCAGGACAAAGACGTTCCATTATTGCCGGTGGCCACCGCACGGTACAACCTAGCGCCAGACACAGCCTCCCAATTAACAGTTGCAATGGCGTTAGTACAACTGTAGTCCACTGATATGGATGGCACCGAAGCAACAGCTGCGTTGGAGCAAAAAAGCAAAAACATATGTATTCGACTTTATGAGTCTGAATGACATGATAGTTATGACTGTCACAGTGTCCATTCACAGTGCTATAACAGTGCTTTTACCATGCAACTAATACTTACAATTGGTGGTGTAAAGGGCAGTGGACGGCTCTCCAGGCTGCAGAAACATATTGATAGACGAAACGCCTATTGTGTAGCTTGAACATGGTTTGAGGTTAGGTAGATTCAGAGAGGTAGCAGAGGTATTCCAAGTCACGGGAGGAAGTCCTGATCGGTTATTTTCCGTCAGCGACACTTGGTAGAGCAACACGCCGGGGACGCTGGACCAGGTGACGTGAACTGTGTTGGAATTTACTGTTGTCACAGTCACAACACCTGGTGGCTGGACCACTGCAGAGCACATACGAGTGAATGACAGTCAGTAAGCAATGGTGTTTTGAAGTTTGTTCATTTTTACTTTTACATCACCTATATGTAACACCAAAATAAGCACCCAAAATAAGACAATAACAAATTTCTTATCAAGATACAATTATTTTAGGGGTTCATGATACATCATGTTCGATTTGTTATCATGCATGGCATGTTATATGCTACGATATATGTGCAGGTGCAATACAATAATATGTGCACAGTATGTTATTCGCCCATAAATAGGAAAATGTAATTACTATTATCTTTCTTACAGCTAATATTTACAACCAATTATTTGCTTGTTGGCTATCAGTTTCTTGGTCTCTGGCTTGTGGTAACAGTTGGCAATTACCTGGTCTCTTATGTCTGCCAGTAGTTAACTGTTTATTGATCTGTTACCTTTGCTAATAATCCACCTTTGTCCATCTTATGCTCACTGCACTTCATATTTAATTTAATACTGAACTGTGAAGTTTTTTTAAATAGTAAAAAAATGTAAAATTGCCTTCCCATATGGAAATCTGATATATGGGCATATATGCATGTAAATCATGTAAGGTCAGGCATATATTTCAAAATCTATAAGCATCAAATATTGGACATATATGTCTGTTAGGTGGGTGAATACATATATGCACATTATATGGACCATACGCATATGTCTAATAGGCGGGTGAATACATTTATGCACAATATATAGATCACACATATACCTGTCTGTCTGATATACAGAGTGTATGATACATATGTCTGTTGTCCTAAGAACATGTATCATATAAATATGTCTGATACAAACCATAACACACTGAAAGACACACTGAAAGATTTTTAACGCAAATACCCTCATATTACACAACACGCAGCTAGCATATATGAGTAATATGAAAAGTATTATTTCACATACTGTTAGTTATATGTTGTACATATGTTGTTAAATGTTGATATATGACTGAAATATATGTTCCATACTTGAAAATGGCCAATTTAAAAAAAGTTGGCATAAATGTCACATACATGTCCATACGTGACAAATATATGTTGAATATAAGAGAAATCCCTACATGCTAATATATGTAATATATCTAAAATCTGTATATTGCCATATATCAGCTGTCAGTATGGGGTAGCGTTATCTGTTTTCAGTTATTAGTTTCTTTATCACCTACAAAATGTGCACCTTTTTATATACAGTAAAAAAATATTTTGATACAAAATTACGATAGACTTCCACAGAGCAAAGATCTGCATTTAGCCTTAAGTTCAAATATGAGTTTGTACATTTTTTTTTATATAATATCCTTATTTACTACATTAGCTTAATAGCTAGCATTTCTAGCCTTACTAGCATCTGCACCTGTGTTCCTGCGCCTGAAAGAGAAAGCGATGATCCATAGAGACACTTCACTACACACAACATTCGAAGGAGCGCGGAGCAGTAAAATAATCCCGGGAGAGTTATAACGTTACACGTTTTCTGTTCTTTATCACGTTTTATCATGAACTGGAACTGACCGCAAAACCGCTGGAGAGTATTGTGTTACTGCATTAGCGGTGTATTACAGTTTCTTAAAGCAGTTTTTGCTGTCTCTTTGCATGCCCCGTGGAAGCCTATGAGACGTAAATTAATATCTGTACTGACGTTACATCTTAGATTAGGAGCACAGGTGTTACAAGAAAAACAGTAAAACAGCGTTAAAATACTCTGAAAACACTGGACTGTCTATTTAAAGGCACTGTGAAAGACTTACATGTGTTAACTGTTTTTACAGAGCTTTTGGCGCCCAGCCCGGCGGCGTTGGAGGAGTAGACGTAGCAGTTGTAGGTTTTGGCCGGCTGAAGTCCAGTGATGTCCCCGCTGAGCGATGTGAAGGTGAGGTTGTGGTACTCGGTGTGAAACGCTCCCTCCACCACCAGCACATAACTGTCGGCTCCCACGACGCTGGACCACTGAAACGTTATCGACGTGCTCGAAATGGCCTTGAAAAACGTTATCTGCGAGGCTGCGGGCACTGAAAAAGAAAGAAAGATGGAAGAGCAGGATTAAAGACTACGCGTACCCGGCTAATTGGTCTATCCAGCTGGTTTGATCCTGAAGAAGTCGCCTACCTGTCTGCGCTAGAGTGGAGCTGATACACATCACATAGTAAAACTGGTAGACTTTAAGCGTGACTTGGTACAGGCTTCCAGGCCGTAACCCCTGCACCAGTTTCTCCGTCGTGGACGCTGTAAACTGTAACACGACGGGGGTCACAGTGGTCGAATTCACGACCCTTAAGTCCATGAAGTAGTTCGTGGCTCCAGGAAAACTCGTCCATTTTATGTACAAGTTTGAAGCTGACGGCGACGTAATGGACGTAATATCACAGTCTGTGGATGAAAGAGAGAATTAGCTAAGGACACACAAGATTTGACAGTTAGTTTTAATATTTCAGTAACTGAGGGCCAGCTTGCCAGAACTAGTTAAAGCCCAATCCTTGGGCTGCTTGAAAATGGTAAGTAATTCAGTCCAAGGCCAGACTTAATCCATGTCCATGAAACTGACCCTAAAAATCTTTTTTCTTAATACATTTAGCAGCTATTTTAAAATATTTTCTCACTTTCCAGCATATAAAAAATATTCACTTACTTCCTTGAGCCTGTTGTACCTGAGAACAATTGAAAAAGAAGGAAAATTTTGATGTTAGTCTACGTTACATAGACGGCATATGAAAATAAAGGTTAGTCTAAAGTCTAAATCCTAATTCTATTAGCAGTGAATAATTACCTCAGTCAATAAAGCCACAAATAAGAGAAAGCACAGTGTCTCCAAGAGGCGCATCTCTGCTATGGTCCGTAGGGAATGAATAAGTTAGATTCATACAGATATTAATACACACTGAGCTCTGAAAGTGTATGCCGCTGCATCCCAGGTATACCTGCCCCACAGGAACCAATCGGTTTGCGAGAAAGCAGGACAGATGGATGCCTTTAGGCCTGGTAAGGATATTAGAAGGAAAAACAATATCAGGGAGGGGAGTGGGTTGGCAAGTTTTAAAACCTGTTTAGACCAAGGGACACATATTCAAGCTCAAGCTTGGACTTCCTTACCCCGAAATGTTAATGGGAATTCACTGTTGTCTTGTCTATGTATAGTGTAAGTGTACCTCTGGACGACCACCTGAAATAGTTTCACAGGACTTGGTCAACGCTATTGTGAAGTTTGGTCATCAGTACCCATGTCAGCTTTCTGCCACTATTTTTGTAGGTTGTTGTTTTATTTGTTAGTGATGGACATAATATATATTAATGATGGACATAATATATATTAATGGTCTCATTGGCTTCCTGTGAAGTTACATCAAAAATGATATGAAGGAAGTCATTTTTACTTTCTTCTTAAAAGCTTGCTCACCATGGAGCACTCATCTTCATTCTTTTAGAGTCTTTTAGAGTATTACATTACAGAAATGGACTACAATAATAAAAAAGTACTGCCAAGGAGAGACTATTCTGTCTCTTTACCGGAACACATCTTGCTCTTTATATGTCATCCCTCCAAGCAAATAGAAGATTATAGTAATGCATTGGACTCCAGTTTAGTCTGCCTGTCTAACTGAACAGTTCAACTTCATCTTCACTTTCACCTGATTTATTGTGGATAAATTCTTAAGTAAAGATGGAGCTCAGGTGCAGATGAAGAAATAGGTGGGTACATTATATTTCCAAAAGTATCCAGACATCTCTTGTAATTAGTGAATTCAGCAATAATTCAACATCTAGTGTAAAGCCTTCTCAGAGGAGTATTATTTTGGGTGAAAGGTTGGATGAGCAGGTGTCTACAAACCTTTGGACATAGTGTGGATGTGATAAGCATCATAAGTGACCACTGAGTGAATACTTCCAGGTCAGACAGACAATCTTTAAACAAGTAACTTTGTCAAAGGATGAACAGTACCAAGCAGGAAAGGCACCGGGGAAGCAATAGCAACATTATGTAATTAGAGAATATCAGACGTCCGTGGACCCAAAACGTGTGAACTGAAATGTCATCTCTGAAGCCATTAGTATATTTACTCAGGTGGGTAGGATTGAATGGCCAGTTTTGCTAAAACATACTCACATGGCTAATAATGTATGGTAACTGATGGGTTTTTTGCACTTGTTTCAGTGTTCATCATTTCAGCTCAGATGTTTCCAGTGAATATGACAGTTTTCAGTCTCAGAAATGGGAAACACTTTTCTGCTGTAACAACCATGCAGTGTTGTACTTCAGTATGTCTTGTTCATGTAGACGGGGGACAAAATGAATCTATGGCCCTTGTCATGGCGTAAAAGTGAGACCAACCACCCATGTCAGACTATTTATTAAACAAACTACTTTATCTATAAGTCTTATAGGTCACTTACATGTCACAAGTATTCTATCTCAAGTTTTCAAAGAAGACTTAAGATGCTGGGTTCAGTTGGAGAAAAAGGCTTCAATATTTATTACAGGCTCTAGCAAAGTGCATTCAGCCTGGGCATTGGTTCCAGACCCAAATGCAAACACAATGTTCAGAGTTCCATGTTTTTATACACTTTACAGAGATGAGGTGATCCCTTCTCTTTCTCTTGATGTGTCATAACCTGTTTCACCCATCAAAAAAACAAAGATTTATCACTTTTTTTTTTGGACACAATTAAATTAGACCCATTAAAAAGGTCAAGTTGTCTCTTTTGTATGTAATTAAGTAAAAAGGGACAGCTGCATCTTTTGTACCCAGCACGGGTGCTTGGTGCTTATCAAACACCTGTTTATACATTGACCTCCTTATGGCTTAAGGTTCAAAGGGTTCACTTGAAGGCCTCTGCTGCTTAGAAAAGTTCTGGTATTTTCCAATACACAGACAAAGTCTCAGGGGTTTTGCTGTCTTATGCATACTTTCCAATGTTCTATGTATATACCTTTTATTAATGATGTTCTCTTTAATCATCATGTTTGATTATTATGTTCGAAAGTTTCATTTTATTCCATCACAGGCAGCACAAATGCCCTTTTTTTGCCATATCTGATTTGAGCAAGACAGATTTTCCATAGTCTGAATGGCTGAAAGCTACATTAAAGTCTTTTTCCTTTCAGATTCAAGCTACATTTGTAGGTGGTTTCAAATCAGATTCAAATTTGGATTTATGAAAATGTGGCTCAGTGTTGCAGGCCGCACACCTCTCTAGTCAACGACCCCAAGCCCGCTTTGTAACCATGACAACCAGTGTGGCTAATGCGACTACGGTCTGGCCACACAATTCAGATTTGGTCACTTGAAACTTACAATGTGGACACACAGACTTCGTTTACACCTGAGTATATGTGGATAAGGCCAAGCCACATAAAAAAGCAACTGTAAACGCACCGAAGACACATTTAAAACTGAAGTGGTCTGAGACACATTTGAACCACGTTATTGCAGTGTAAGTGCAAAATGCATCCATCTCTCTGAGACATATTCGGCCCCCCGAAACCCCTCCCAGTACAACCAAAATTCTTCCCAGTACAACGAAACACCCTTCCCAGTACAACCGAAACTCCTCCCCATACAGTATGTCACTGGGCGGGTGATCCATGTCTACAAGGAAGATAATCATGGAGGATTCACATGGTTGAAGACCAGACAAAAAGATCTGTAATAGCAAAACTGCAGAGCCCTCGCAGGAACTGTGGAGCATTCGAATAAATATCTAAACAGCTTTGGTTGCCGCATAACAAGCAGATTTGCATGTTCCATCCATTACAGCAATCAAATTTCAATCCGACTAACCAGTGTGTAAAAGCATGTGACTAAAATCTTCTCAGGATAAAATCCAGATCCTAGTCACACAAAATGACTAGGTGTAAAAGGGGTCTCCGTCTAAAAATCAGATTTAAGAAACAAATCCGATTGGCCCTGCAGTGTTAACAAAGCCTGAAATCTATGCTGAGGTCTCCTGGGACTAAATTGGGAAAACACTGACTATGACAATCAAGAAACAGCTGGGTGAGATCACAGAAATACTAGAAAACACCATGCAAGCTCTAACTGAGGTCAGTTATACCTTACTTGGAAATTTTCAAGAATCTGTAATGAGGTGGTAAATGAACAAGGTGAAAACATCCCTGAAAACAGCAACATCAAGTTTAAGTTTTCAATCTAAAGATCACAAAAATGATAAGACAACATGATCCAAACTGCATCCATTGTTCTGGGCAGAGTTCAGTTTTCTCTTGTTTGATTTACATCTGTGATTATCAAGAAGCTCCATGACGTTATGCTCATTTTAGCATGTCTAGGGTGAGACACTGTACATAGTGAACTGATCCCAGGGGTACACACACTTATTGTCCTCTGCCCTTTCACTGTCTCTGTAAGCAGACGCCATTTAATTGTTGCTAGTATCATATAGGCAACTGCTAGCATATAGAGAAGAAGCCCTGACATCAACCATCGTTAATGCAATGTCACTGGTCTGCTCAGTGTGCTTGAAGGAGAACGGTAACTGCCAATACTGTTGGGTCAGCTAATGTTGGCTAGAACTGCATTGAGTGATGGTTGGAGAGGTAGGTCCATGTTGCCCACACATGGAGAGATGGCAAGAATAGCTCTATTAGGATGTGAATAATAGCCAGAAATTGAACCGACGATAAAGTCGACGTTTAGACGGTTTCGCCACTCGTTTAAACAGTGTGCTCACACGAGGGCCCACTGCACAGGTTTCATACTAGGGCATGTCAGGGCATTTCTCTACAGCCAAATACTTTGGTCAACCAGGGATGCATCTAAATATAAACAATTAGTGTTATATAAGTGTAAATGTAATATCTTCTTGCATGTTATATATGTGAAGAAAATGGCACATTTCTAACAATGAACTCAAGCCACACCTACAGTTTCTTTTCCTCTGTCCTTTTTTCTGATTTCTCCTCTTCCGCATAGCTTTGTCTCTGAGCTATATGATGTATTGCTGTTTTCTTTTGTTACTTGTCAGGGTTAATGTCATACATCTTCCTTGTCAGGTGTCAAGTGGCATCTGTATGCATTTTGGGCAATGAAACATTGATTTTAAACCCACTTCTCTCCAGGCCTAAAGCAAGTTACAGAAATATTAAATGACCAGTAGTTTTAAAAATATAATGTAATGTTACTTGTTCAAAAATGAAAACTGCATTAATCGTTTTTCCAATTATTTAAACTATTTATGAAATTCACCCTAAGCAGCATGTCGTTTAGTGATGTTCATGTCAGTAGTACAATATGACCTTAATTTCTTTTAACAGCAAATATACAGTATATCAGATGATGGAGAAGAATGCAATTTAAGCTGTTGTGCTCTTCTCAACTAACATATCCGATTAGGGAGAAGTATGCAAACTGAGCTACTAGCCTCATGTTAGTTAGTTTAACTTAGGCTATTCTTGACCCAAATGAGGGTGTTTATGGGTGCTTCTCCAGACAGTTTTAGTTGTATGGACATGCAAAAAAATTAATATGAAAAGATTATATTTATTGTGCTCAAATCCACGGACACAGCCACACTTTTGGCCGTGTGGTCTTTGGCTCATGTTTGAGCTGAAAGTAGGTGTGTTTGGCTTTATTTTATGTCATTTTATCAGTGCGTATAAATGAAGGCCGGATATATATACAGAAAAAAGTGTTAAAACACTAATAAACTCACCATAAACACTAATATTATATAACATATAATAATATAACACTAATGTTAAAACACTAATAAACTCTCACCATGCGTTGTACTAAAAATGTGAACATATATCCTAAAGTGTCCTGCTTCAAATTCTAAGCGTCTGTAGTTAAAGAAACACTCATATATGGAGGCACTTTTTTCATGTATTCTGGACTACAAATCTACATG